ATTTTTAAATATTATAATTAATGTATTATATACATACCTTTATATATATATATATATATATATATATATATATATATATTGACAATATACAGGAATTTTGTTCCAGAACTTCCACCGGTACTTTTTCTTATTTGTCTTAAAAATGAAATTTATTTGATAACAGTGATCGAAAATAAATACAGTGATGAATTGAAAAACCAAAAAGTAATGGAAGTGGATCATCTCATGTAAAAAAATGATCATGTGGTCATGTTATTTGATCACAATCCTTCATTGATGATGAGATAAGAGAGAAAAAAATGTATAATTTTTAAATGAGTTACTGTGATCAAATAACATGATTACATAACTACTTTTTCACATGAGAGGATCTATTCAAAAAAATAATTGACACGAACCACACAAATAGTTGTATGAAAAGGAGAGAAAGAAATTTTTTTCTTAAAACACGACAGAGTAAAAAATGGGAAACATCTATGCAAAATGACAGGAAGTGTTTAGGTTGTGTATGATTAGTTGGCCCGATTGTGATAGATGTCAGTCACTGTTTACTATCTTATTAAAGACCAGTTCAGTCACTAAATTGCTGCATTCTATTTCCAGGCTTTCTACCGCTTTAATGGAAAAAAAAAAAAAAAAATGCGAGCGAAACGGTATGCAATGGGTGCACATTCGCGCGTTATTTTTAGAGTGTAAATGGGTTAGGCTGAGCTGAGCTTTGGCTTTTCTGACTTAAGCTTATGTAAAAAAATATTCAGCCTATCTGGCCTATTGGCCTACTAAAGACTTTATTTATAGGTCAAATCTGACCTATTTTTAAAAATTAGAGAGCCTTATATGACCTGCAGTCCTTGTAGGCCTCCCTACTGATATATTTTTAAATATTTTTAAAAAAATTTAAAATATTTTTAACAATTTTTAAAATATTCGCTTGACATTACAAGTCATTAACTTGTTCATAAATTGCTGCATTTTTTTTACGCGAGATATAAATTTCACTAGTGAATATTAAAAATTATACAATAGTAAAAAAAATAACTATAAAAGTATACTGAGCAAAATTTCATTCATGGATGCACTAGTACTTCTCATAATTCATAAAAAATGACAAACAATAAAGAGTCAACATAATACCTCAGCTCTATAATGTATATAAGAGAGGAATAGAGTCAAAGAAATGAGGAAAACAAGAAAATACAATTACTAGGTCAACCAAAGCTGAAAAAAAGTCTACAAGATAAACGTAGTACTAGGATGGGTGATCTCCTGGGAAGTCCTCGTGTTGCACCTCTGTGAAAACAGATTACAAAAAAAAAAGTCGACAAGATAATGTCATTCATTGAAATATCTTTAAACCACCATCAAGACAAGGGAAAAGAGAGTATTATTGAAAGATGTTTCATCAGTAACATCATAATCCAACAAGGTACCAATTGCTCCATGGTATTAAGCTGCAACAACATGTAAAATTGTCAGACATTTGACAAGTTTTCCTTTCATAAAATAAAATAACATAAAAAGTAAGAGATAAATATTAAATAGGCTAGCCTACAAGACTTTAGGCTAGGCTTAACAAAATCAGCCTATGACTTACTTATTAAAAAGGCTTTTTTATAACCCTTATAAGCCTAAGTCAACTATACTTTTCAACATAAGCCGGACAAGGCCAGGCTTAACGTGTAGGCTAGGCTATGCCAACCTGGCCCATTTACACTCCTAATTACCCCCGTATGTTTTTTTTTTTGGTATGCAATTACCCCATATGTTATTAGTGTAAAAATTAACGCAACAAAAGATATATATTTTGAAAGGGCCCATTCAAATTGCACACATCTCTCTATGCACGTTTTATGGAGCATGGCATGTAACATATAATTTTGGATTTTATATAAATTCCATATGAGGTGTTTCATGGCTTAAAATGCATATTCTTTATACACGATTCACTTGTATTAGATGAATAAATAATTTAACAAAAGAAATAAACTTATATGTTTTATTTTTTGCATTACAAGGGTCAAAAAGCCCTATTTCCTAACAATTTTTTCTTTTGCAATAAATTAATATCATTTTTTTACCAAACAAATGTGTTTGACAAAAAAAAGATATTTCAAAGTGATACGATTAATTATGCATGTTGATCATATGAGATTTAGTGTTAGTGTGTAAGCCTCACATTTTTGCCATAAAGCCGCGTATTCTTGATTTCTTGTCGTACGAAATTGCCACGCTGACATAAGTCTAGCATGGTATGGGGCGGACTTGTATTGGTGTAAGTGTGTGCAAATGCACACACAAATTTTTGGGCAAAAAAAGAGAGAGTATATTTTGTGTCCTCAATAAATATTAAAATTATATGGTCCAATTTAATTTCTAAGAAAAAAAAAGTCGACTCTCGGTCCCTCTGAATTCTAAAATAGACCCGGTTAGTCGAAATTGTGGTTCATTCGAAATTCAAAGAAGACTTACATTAGTACTCTCAAAAAGACTAACATGGATCTATTTTGAAATTCAGAGGGATCACGAGTCAATTTTTTTTCTAAGGGATTAAATTGGGTCCCATTGATTTTTGTTGAAGACTCAAAAGGTACTTTATTTTTGTAGTAATTTCCAGTTTTCTTTTCTTTTTTGTTTATATTTTTTTTATTTTGTAATACAATTAAAACTTTCTTTAAAAAAAAATTTCGGGGGCATTGCCACTGCACCCCATCTCTAAATGTGCAGACATAAATAAAATTGTTTGGGTCTGCCACTGAGTATGGTCAACATGAAATTTTTACGCTGGCATTAAGTACTGCTCGGCAGGTCAGGTTCGTGTCGTGCAAGTCTAACCCGTGGGTTAGATTGTCCAACCCATATACGTTCCGCATTTGTTCGTAGGTAAAAAATTAAAACTCGGATATGATCTGCTGCGGATCGTGGGTCACATGGATTGATTAGCAAAAATTGATAATTTATGTTATCAAAAAAAAAAAAAAAAAAAATTGATAATTTAATTTTTTTTTTTAAAATAAAATAAAAGAAAAAAGTGAATAAAATATTGACTCGTGACCCCAATAGTATATGTAAAAATACTAAAATTTCAAAAAACTAATAATACTTTTTTGATAATTTTTTTTTAGACCGGCACATGTCAACCCGAGACACGACACGACACTAATTCGTGTCATTTATCCAAACATGCACATGACTCGTTTTATTCTACTGGTCAACACGACTAGCATTTTGATAGGTCGAGTCATGGGTCAATCCGTAGGTCATGATATGTTTTGCCACCCTAAATACTACTTTATTACTGTGTCGTGTGACGATTAACATGCATGATTGATGACATTAATATAAAATATCTTTTGAAAAATGAATTGTAATTTTTTGAAAAATAATTGTTTGATAAAAAATACTTCACTTGAAAATATAATTTGCTGCATACATTTTCATTCAAATATCAACATAATTTATAAATAAAAGTTTGGTAACTTTGTTTCCAAAAAAAATGTTGTAACTGATAATCTCTTTTAAACATATTAATTGCCTATTTGGATTTTTTTTTTTTTTTTTATAAGTAGAAGTTAGGTCAAACATATTTTTACAAAAGCTCTTGTAATAAAAATAATTTTTTTATAATAAAAAAAGAAAGAAAGAATCCAAATATGCTCTAAATCAGTTAAAAAAATGTTAGATTTCTCTATTCTTCTTTTTTAATAATTAACCATATTTTATTTTCCCGTGATATGTGTGATGATAAATACTTTATAAAATAAAATAATTAAAATGAATATTGTTTATTTGAATTAGTTATACTTTACATATATTATTATTGTTTTTATCGGAAACATTATTATTGACTGATTAAAAGTAGACATACAATAAATTATATGATAAATGAGATAAGTACAATTGTACAAAAATGATGCAATTGGAATAAATAGTTATTGACCTAATTAATTTTCGTTATTTTGCTGTATTTCCTTATAGGTTGGACTTAGGCTTTACCCCACGTTGTACTCTTGTTTCTATAGCTAGTTGATGATTGTTGGCACACAAAGTAAAAGGGAATCTCAAAACCTCGACTGATAATGATATTTTCTAACTCCATAAGATAAGGTTGGTGATAAAAAATTCTTCTAAATTACTTTAGGGGGGAAATACTATAATTTTGATAGAATAATTTATTTTTGTAAAGGACTATATATCTCAACACACACCTCACACAAGAGTCTATTGTACTTGAAGAGTGGATGATGCAACAGGCTCAGCCTAGCCTACCTGTGCTAAGAAATTCCACAAGAGAAAGTGGGGGACGGAGAGGTTTGAACCCGGGATACGAGGCTCTGATAAAGAACCTTGAGATACACCACCCCAAAAACTAGCTCAAAGGGTGGGAGTGCCTAAGATCTTATAAACTCCCACTTTAAAGTGGAATTAAAATAAAAGTACAAAAAGGTAAACCAAAAATTGAGTCTGTGCAATATCCACACTTCTAGCCTAATGGGCTCTCGTGTGAGTGAGCGTGTTGAGATATATAGTCCCACATTAGTTATATGTGCAACTAATGCGGAGTTTATAAGGTCTTGGACACTCCCACCTTTGAGCTAGACATATAAAAAAATAAATAAGATAAAAGAATAATAAATAAGATATAGATATATTTTTTTATATCTATTTTACTTATTATTCTCTGACACATTAAATCAAAATATTAGTTGAAATTTTGATTTAACGATATTAAAGAATAATAAATAAGATAAACATGTAAAAAAAATAAAGAGAATAACATATTAAAGTAGAATTTCACAATTAAAGGGTATTTTTAATTTTAAAGTGAAAGAGCGAGGGTAGGAGGGTCATTTCAGTTTCCCAACATACCAAGTGGAATCAACCTTGAACATTAATAATATGCTGCAATTAAAGACAACTGAGAGGGGCATTATTGTCACAAAGTTAATATATAAGTTATGGTTCCATGATTTATGATCATCGTCATCTGTGCGTATCTAAAACATCTTCAAATCTATCTTTGACCGTCGTACTCTCTCTCTCCTCTTTAACTCTCTCTCTCTCTCCCTTATTAATTTTCTCTCATCATCACCCTTCACCTTTTCGCCGCTGTTGCAGACTATGCTCTACCCAAAATCGAAAACACACATACAAGGAACAACAACAAGAAGAGCCTCCACACTCATGTAGAGAGAGAAACTTTCAAAAAAATTTCACTTTTTTTTTTTTGCGCCCCTTTCCCTGTCACTGCCACTGCATAAAAGATCTCTATATATATAAAATTTTCCATCATTCATTAGCAGCAGAAAGAGAAACACTCATCTTCTTCTTCCTCTGATTTCGATACCCTTCTTTCATTATTATTAAACTTCCTCTCTCTCTCTCTCTGTGTGTGTGTTTATCTCTACAACTCTGATTCGACGGCTGTGATCTTCTCGTCTCTCCAATCGTACGTCCAGGGGTCCTTTGTCTGTCTCTTCTCATCGTCACGTCTCTCTCTACGTAAGTATCCCATCTTATTGAACAAACAACAAAATATAATAGGCTTTATAACCCGCTTTTTCTCTGTGTGTAGTACCTCTTTTTCATCACGAATCATATCCGCATAATATCAAACACACGCTGTCTAATGTCTATGCAAAGTTCAATTTTTTTTTTTTTAATTTTTTCTGTGGTTCGTTTAATTTTTCGAATCTACTAGCTCCTCAAATTCAGTGTACGTCATTTTTCCCCCCTATCTTTTTCCATTATGGGTTCGTCCAATTCTTCAAAATTTTGAAAAAAAAAAGTTATTTTTTTTTGTGTCCACACAACTGGCCTTCCACTGGATTCAGTTGTCAATCGGGTTTTTTTTATTACATGCATCGATACAGTGTTGAATTATGCATTGTCGTTAATGGGTTTTCTTTGTTCTGGCTGCGGATGCCAGATTTAGATCCATCATGGTGCTATAACCGTCTTTGACCAATTGGTTGGTTTGAAAATTGAAATCTCTTATCCGGTTCATGATTAAATGCATTCAAAATTTTGACTATTTGGAGCTGTTATATATATATATATATATATATATATAACATCTTTTTAGCTTTAACCGTTGGTCAAGTTCTGGTTTAAAAGGGTATCTCTGAATGGGGGTCCGTTACTCAGTCTGCTTCTTTTTTATTTGCATGTGGGTGTCATCTGTATCAAGATGCTGGGTAGTACTGCTCTGCTGTTATTCAGGAATGATATTTAGACTCATATAATATTGTTGAGTACTGTTATATTCTGTCAAATTTCTGATGTGCTCAATGATTTTTAACAAAAAGTGTTTGACATTAAATTGTCTACCAGATACTATATACTAAATAGGCTTCAAATTTGGGGTTTGAGCAAGTGTCTATTTTGGTCTTTAATTTTGAACCCTAAGATGGTTTGGTTATACGAAAGTTAGTTATAGGCCTGTTTTCTGCTTTTCTTGGTTCTTTTTGTTTTAGTTTATGTACTTAATACTGAGGATAATACCTGTGGTCCAATGCAAAAGGGATATTATAGATGATTTTGTGAAAATATTTATTTATTTAGTTTTTAAAACTCTTCAGGTTGTATTTTTACATAGAGTTCTCTTGTTTATTCCATTTACAGTTTGTATGTATTATGCATGTATGGAATTTAATATGTGGACTTCTCTTAAGTTGTATAGATCTTTTGTTCTTTGCTCAGTATATTTTTCGTGTCAAAGAAGTACTCATGTCATTTCATGGAAATGCAATTACACATGGGCCGGTTGTATAAAAACCATTATTAGAGCATCACCTATCACTTTAAGTTTTCGGTTGAATTGATTATTTATATAGTATCAAAGATAGCATGCACTGAGAAGAGCATCATCCCAAAACTTTTAGGTTAAATTAATTTTTTATATGGTATCGGAAGAGCTAGAGTGACCAACAGATCATGAGTTTGATCCTCACCGCCCTCACTAAGTTAATAATCAATTAAGTCTTGTAATTTTTTTTAACACAAGTAGATGTGCCTGTGCAATTGTCCACATTTCAAATACAGTGGGCTCTATTACGAGGGTGTGTTAGAGAAATATAAAAACCATTATTGAAGCTTCACCTATCAACTTAAATTTTTGGGTTGAATTGGTTCTTTGCACGGGTAATTAGGTAATTAGCAAGATTCTTGTCAATGTTTCGGTCTTATATTAATGTTTGGTGTGCTTTTATATATGTATGATATTGTTTCTCATCGTTTCATATGATGGTTTTTTTAGTTGAATTAAGTGGATGAATTTCTTGTGACCGTTTGTTGTTTTTGTATGCTTTCAGGAATGGTCTTTTAAGGCGCATAGAACTGTGGGGCTATTTGTCATAGCATCTGTAAATGATCTTATTTCCTTGATTTCGACTGTAGTTAGAGAGTAGCTTCTCTGGAAAACTAAACATGGAGTCCAACGGTCACAGAAGAGTAAGGAGACATGATTATGTTGTTAAAGAAAATGGTAATTCCCATTTGTCGAATCTTGATGATGAACATGATCCATGGACTGCATGGGCATACAAGCCTCGTACGATCACATTGTTGCTTATTGGTGCTTGCTTTCTTATGTGAGTGCTTTGCTGGATGAATTAATGCTATTGAGTAGTGTATTTTTATCAACTTGGAAATTTGTTCTTTAATAAACTTAAATTTCTTCCCCACTTGATTTTATTTTACTGTATATCGGTTGTGTATGTCAGTTGGGCGAGTGGAGCACTTGATCCAGAAAGAGATTCGTCCGGTGATGTTGTTACTTCAGTTAAAAGGTTTGGTATTTTTAGTTTAATATTGGTACTCATATTTCTTTGTTGAGTATTTTACTTTTTGTACAATATGCTGAATGCCCACACAATTGTTTCTCTGTAGGGGTGTATGGGCAATGATTGCTGTTTTTCTTGCTTATTGCCTGCTGCAAGCTCCTTCCACGTGAGTAATCAGAGAGAGTATATTTTGTATAGTTTGGTATTTTTCATTTACTTTTATTGTTATTGATTGTATATATTAGTCTTGTTGCTTTTATACTTATTTTATATTGAATATAGTTGTCTGGTATATATGTTGAGTTTAGATTTAGATCCCAAGTTTGTAATGAGGTATTCCTCCATGATTGGATTATTTTCTTGCCTGTATCTGGGAGGGGATTGAGTATCCGAAATTTTATTTTCAGGTTTGAGAGATGGTGTTGAAGATATTAATTCCATACTTTGAGTTATTATATTTCATATTTTGAGTTAAGAGTTTATATTAAGTGAATTATGAAGCTGCTGTACATATATATTTCTTTATCACCATTTTAGAACAACATTATGTATTAAGGCCAAGTCATTTGAGATAATCTAGGTCTCATTCAAGATTGGGTGGTTATGGGGTGTTTTAGATTTTGGTAGCCAAGTGAGATTGAATTGCTGCAAGATTTTTGGGAAGAGAAGTTACCGGAGAACACTACTTTTTGAGGTTCAGGGTTTAGAGAGTGTGTGGGAGAGATTTGGAACTGTATGAAGAGAACTGAAAATCCAAGGTGTTTAATATTGTTTGATGGAAACTCATTCCATACAAATTTTCATATAATCCTGCTTAAAATTGTTCTGCTAAGTTATAGATCTAGGACAATACTTACTTGGATGAAAATATAAGCATGAGCTGATTTCTGGCTCTTGTGGGATAGAAAATAATGGTGGAGGAATAATAATATAATAGGCTTTTAGTTCAGCTGAAGTTGTAGTAATTTTCTCTTTTGAGACTATTATCTCTATGTAATTTATTTATTTTTTCCTGTTTTCATTCAGGGTTCTTATTAGGCCACATCCTGCAATATGGCGCTTGGTCCATGGGATGGCCGTTGTTTACCTGGTTGCCCTCACATTTTTGCTTTTTCAGGTTGGTGTTAATGTTTTTGATTTACTGTTCTTGCTGTGTGTATGTCAGTATATGTAATGCATGCATGCAAAGCTTGAAGTTAGCACTTATATATTTGTAAAACTTGAAGTTTTCATTTTTGTGGTGCATCTTTGCACTAGATTTTTGCATGCTGTTTGGATTTGCATCTTTTTGCTTCGTTCAACTAAGTCTGTGTCTTCGGTTGTATATTTTTTGTCATTTATTGCTCTGTTTCCAGCAAGTGAAAGAAAGTGAACTAACATGTAGCTTGAATTTGTTTTTTCCCACAGAAGCGTGATGATGCTCGGCAGTTTATGAAGTATCTTCATCCTGATCTTGGTGTTGGTAATTCAATCTGATTCTTATAGTTTAGCTTTGAATTGATTGGAATTAATTCATTGTGGATCTGTGTTGTATGTGAGATTTTAAAAGCTTTATTGGTTGGTTATGGATCAGCTTGTTGCCTTCAGTTTCAAAATTTGTAAATACCATGTCTTATTTTGGCAGAACTTCCAGAAAGATCCTATGGTGCTGATTGTCGCATATATCTGCCTGAAAACCCTGCATGCAGGTTTAAGAATGTTTATGTATGTTTTCTTCTCACAACCTTTTGTTTTTTCCTATTCTCTCCTCATATATTTTTTTCTTTGTATTATCATATTTGGATCTAACATGGAGCTTAAATATTATGCTTTATTTTACAGGAGACACTTTTTGATGAGTTTGTTCTAGCTCACATTATTGGGTGGTGGGGGAAGGCAATATTGATTCGTAATCAGCCCCTTCTTTGGGTGTTATCAATTGGTTTTGAGTTCCTGGAGGTTAGCCCTGATCTGATTAATAAACTCTTTGGTTTTTTTACATAGGAGCAATTGTGCATAAAGCTTAGCTTTTTTCCTTTTTCGGTGTATATCTTCTATATTGTTTACAAACCATTCTATGTTTGTATCTTCAGCTTACTTTTCGTCACATGTTACCGAATTTCAACGAGTGCTGGTGGGACAGTATTATTCTTGACATCTTGATCTGCAATTGGTTTGGTAAGAGTTTTGGATACATTTTTTATTTGACTTTTTGAAAATTTCCAAGATTGCATGTGGTTTATTAGTTGAAGCATGAGCTTTTTTATTGTATCACCATGTCAAGGAAATACATTTTGATTTTGAAAACGGGGCTAGACCCTTAAATGCATGAAGCTTGTAGGACACCAACATTTGTGAATGCATCCTTTCTATTTAAAATTTAAAGGGTATATGAAATTGTGAGTGTTTGCACTATCATGGATGAGAATTGTTAAAACATTGTACGTATGAATAATTTGATAACGTTATCATGTGCCTTAAATTGAACTTGTTTTCAGAATCCATTGAATGTTCATTCTATAGTGAAATTTCTAAGATTTAATTAGTAGTTGTACTTGCTGAAGGATTGTTTTGTAACTTTATCATTAGGATGACATTGAAGCCTATAATAGTGTACTTAGTGTAATATTATTTTTTCTGCAAGTTCAGTTGTTTTATTATATCTAAACTAATTTTATCATCCTGGAAAACTTTGGACACATCATGTGAACTTTAGTGGTTCTCTTAGTATCATAGTTCATGGTTATGGACTTCTGGTGGTATTGAATAAGCTCTTGTATTGAATCTCTTAAAATTATTATTAGTTTGAATTATCAGATCCCCCTCCCCCTCCAGAAAACTACGTGATGCTACTCACTTTATCAAACAGAATGCAGTACTGTTGTAATTAATGCCTTCTGGCATTAGAATTGTTACAGGCTCACAGCTGATTGTAACATGTTTTACTTGGTGTAATATGCAGGAATTTGGGCTGGGATGAATACTGTTAGGTACTTTGACGGGAAAACATACAAGTGGGTTGGTCTAAGCCGCCAGCCTAATATAATAGGAAAAGTATGTTTTGTGATTTTGAATTTTTTTTTTTTCGTCAATCATCACATTATGCTTGAATCTTTATTTTCTATTGAAATTGAAATCATTCTAATCTGTATGATGATTTTTCTTTGCCTACTGGATCAATGCCAAAATACTTATTTTCTGGTAGTTGTTTTCACTAAAATTGGGTTTCTGATAGTGTTTTAATAACTAGTACAGTCACTTCATCATGAGAAAAAAGATGAATTGACTCTGAAAAATGTTTAGTTAATTTTTGTTGTTAATAATTTTAGTACTCTTAGCTACTCTTTCATTGTTATTAGGTGAAAAGAACATTAGGCCAATTCACACCAGCTCAGTGGGACAAAGATGAGTGGCATCCATTGCTTGGTCCTTGGCGTTTTATTCAAGTGCTTAGTCTTTGTATTGCATTTTTGACAGTTGAGCTCAACACATTCTTTTTGAAGTTCTGTCTCTGGATACCTCCACGCAATTCAGTTGTTATATATAGATTGATTTTGTGGTGGCTACTTGCAATTCCAACAATTCGTGAGTACAATTCATACCTTCAAGACAGGTACATTCTCCATCTCTCTTGTTCACATTTTTCTGTTTGCATATTGTATGTTGAATGTTGATGATTGGCAACATCCTAGTGAATTTTTAACATTTCATCCTGTCTTATATTATTCATTGTGAATTTTTCAGAAAGCCAGTGAAAAAGGTTGGAGCATATTGTTGGCTCTCTCTAGCCATATGCATAGTCGAACTTCTGATTTGCATCAAGTTTGGACAGGGTAACTCTCTCTTCTTATATGTCATATTTAGGTGTTATTTATGTACACAGATGATACTTTATTCACTGATTACATGCTCATTTGTGTTACCACAGGCTTGTATCCAAATCCGATGCCTTTATGGCTGGTAATATTTTGGTCATCTGTTGGAGTGGTAATTCTTACATTTTTGGTTTTTTGGTCTTGGCAAAACCATCGGTGTCTAGAGAAAAAGAGGCGATAATTCCACTATTGCAGTGCATTATTCTTTGATTCCTTCCTGATTTTTAAGGGTATCTATCCATAGCCATACATGGTGTAAATACTATCATCCTCATAATTGTAAATGTCGTAAGTGATTATTCTCCTAGGGTAGTGGTTATCATAGTTTCTTTGAGGGGCAAATATTAGTTTCAACTGGTAGAAGGATGTACTTCTTATGAGGCTTCTGAATAGGTTTCCACCATTAGAGAATTGGCCAATTTCTTCCTCTTGGAATGAATCATTATGAAGTATGTATTCAGTTATTTGAATGAAATTTTGAATGAATGAAACATGTTATGTATTGATTTTCTGTATCTAGACTTGGCCCACCAATTGTTGAATGCTTTAAAATGTGTCAATCGTTCTAAATGTAATAATACTGTCGTCTCATTACTTACGTTGGTGATTGACTTTAACGCTATGTTTAATTGTGCCACGCTGATACGATATGCAGCACATTTTATCTTTAGGTACGAACATTTTTAGTATTACTAGCTTTCAGATTTATGATATATGATAAAAAGATGCCTAGAATTTGAACTTCAAGTTTGAAAATTTGATCCTTAGAAAATTTATTTTTTAAAGGAGATCTTTGATCTTCATCCGTTGCAATTGCGAAAGGAATGTATGTATAAAAAAATTGCTATATATATATAAAACACAATTAGCGATTTTTACATATTTGGGTCTCTAATTCAAAATAGTGACTATTTTGTCGCGCTTGCCCAAAAATTTTATCAAACTGCACGCTATCAGTAAATTTTGTTAAAATACCACGCGACATATTTCGCTACGTTTGCAAGTAATTCGCTACACAGTGTAGTGAAATATGCCATGCCAGGATGCACAGTCAACAAAAAATGACAAGTGTCAAGCAGGCAGAATCAAAGCATAATTCGGTACATAGTGTAGTGAATTTCTGTCTGCTTGACACGTGTCATTTTTGCTGACTGTGCATCCTGATATGACATATTTCGCTACACTGTGTAGCGAATTACTTGCAAACATATTTCGCTACATAGTGTAGCGAAATATGCCGCGTGACATTTTGACAAAATTTACTATTGGCGTGACAGTTTGATAAATTTTTTGGCCAAACGTGACAAAATGGTCACTGTTCCCTCTAATTCCAACATTATCCACCAAGGTAGATTATGGTTTCGATAAACGTGCATGTTCCACTTTGACAAATAAAACATTGGGTTTTTCTTTTCTCATGTCATAATGAGATAATATCTCTCATGTTATAGACATTAGACACAACAAGTTGTAAGTTCACCATTTGTTAAAAAAATAAAAAATAAAAATTAAATAGTACAAATTTTGATACCTCATAACATGAGAAAGCAATCTTAACAACATGAGAAAATGATTTTTCTAAAACATTTGTTCAGTCAATAATGAAAATATTTTAAAAGGTTTGGAAAATAAAAAAAATATAGAGCTTGAATAGTTAATGCATGTATAATGTATTTTATGGTTTTAAGTATTTTATCAGAGGAAGGGCCAAACAAAATCAAGGAGGCATTTTGGAAGAGATTTAAAATTGCTACTACTCTGAGGCTCTGTTTGGGAGATAGTTTTTGGAGGAAAAGGGAAGGGAAGGGAGGGTTTTAGGAAACCCTTCCCTTATTTGTGAGTTAAAAAAATAAAGAGAAGGAATTGGAGGTTTTTACTAAACCCTCTAAAACCCTCATTCTTCTTAAAATTTAAGTTCCCCCAATTTGGGGGGTTTGAGGGAAAAAATATTAAAAATTACTTATCTACTCTTAGCATTAAAATGTAAAAATTACATAATGTGAATCATTTTTAAATGTGACATTATTAGAAAAATCTCAAATACCGACAAAATTTATCGACGAAAAATATTTCGTCAAAAATAGTGATGAAATTTTTGATGAAAATAATATACGTAAAAAAACTTCCCTCAAAACTAAAGACAAAATTAGAGACGGAACAAATTTTGCCATAATTACTGACATAAAATTTTTACGGAAAATAAATTCAACAAAAATTATAGATAAAATATAAATTCCGTCAAATCTTTCACGAAAATATTTTTGTCCAAAATTTTGAAGAAACACATTTCCATCGAAAAGTTTCGACGTAAAACAATTACGTCAAAATATTTTACGATAAACATTTCCATCAAAATTTGTGACTAAAAACATTTCTGTAAAAAATTTTGACGAAATTTTTTTGTCAGAATTCTTTACGGAATCTAAATTTTGTCAAAACATTTCCCTCAACATTTTTCACAAAAACACATATTCATCGAAATTTTTCATGAAAAATGTTTCCATCAAAATTTTCAATGAAACACATTTTCATCGAAAATTTTTGACAGAAAAAAATTCATCAAAATTCTTTACAGAATTTAAATTCCGTCGAAAGTTTTTGACGGAAATATTTTCGTTAAACTTTTTGACAAAAAAATTCCTGTCAAATTTTTTAACGAAACGCATTTGCATCGAAAATTTTCGACGAAAAATATTTCCGTCAAATTTTTCGATAAAAAAATATTTCTATCAAAATTTTCAACGGAAAACATTTCTATCAAAAATGTTTGACAAAATATATTTCTGTAAAAAATTTTGACAGAAAAAATATTCTGTCAAATTTTTTAACGAAACACATTTTCATTCAAAATTTTTTGTAAAATGTTTTGACGGAAAATATTTCTGTAAAAAATTTTGACGAAAAAATTCGTCAAAATTCTTAATAGAAACCAAATTCCGTCAAAAGTTTTGTACGAAAAAATTTTCGTCATACTTTTTGACTAAAAAAAATTTAGTCAAAATTTTTGATGAAACACATTTCTATCGAAATTTTTTGAAAGAAAAATATTTTCGATAAGAAACATTTCTATCGGAATTTTCAATGGAACACATTTTCGTCAAAAAATTTCAACGAAAATTATTTCCGTAAAAAAATTGGATGAAAAACATTTCTGTATTATATTTTGAAAAAAAAAAAAAATTCTTTATAGAATCTAAATTCTGCCTAAAGTTTCACAGAAACATTTCCCTCAAAATTTTTGAAAAAATATTTTAGTTGAAATTTTCATTTTTCATCGAAGATTTTGGACGGAAAATTTTTCGTCAAAATTTTTGAAGGAATTCTTTTTTACAACAAAAAATTTGTCTGAAATTTTATTTTTGTAAAATTTTTCATCGGATAAAAATTCCATCGTCTTAGATGAAAAGTACTCCGACAGAAAAATATATTTTTGACATAATTTTTGCCGTTTTCAACGTACGTTTTTTGTTGAAAATATGATATTTTTTAGTAGTCTGAACAATACATAAATAATTTTTTTTAGCATTTTAAATTTTATTTTATTTGTGAAATATAATAATTAATTAATTTTAGAAAAAGGCTAAAATTGTAAAAATTTCTTATTGACCCTCCAATTTTCCCATTTTCATTTTTTTAACTCCCAAACAAGAGAAGGGAATACCCTCCAATTTTCTTCCCTTCCTTTCCCTCCCTCCCCCTTGGATCCCCTCCCTTCCCCTCTCCTTCAAACTCCCAAACAAAGCCTGAAACTCTTTTTATTTTCAGATAATGCTATGGGATATCCTCACATTATTTGAGTGAGTGTGATACTAATTTTCGCTTGATTGTTGGCATAATTTTGGCTACAATATGTACATAAAGTTTGTATATTATAAGCACAATTTGTCAACTAATTTGTGTGTTTCATATATTTGTTTGAGAATTTTTCCAAACAACACATTCAATGAAAATTTGTAAGACTGTTTTCAAAGAGGCACATATCCTAAGGACATTGGATGAAAGTAACTAATTATTTATCCACTCAAACTCTGTTTGGTTAAATAAATCTATGACGAATGAAGCCTAATAACTTTTTAAACAAATGAATTATAAAAAATTAAACTTGAGGGTTTCTGTTAATAAAAATAAAAAATCAAGAGAAATGTTATATTTACAACTTGTTTTTGTTTACAACCTTTTACAACCATAATCTTAACCGTTGATTTTCGTCAATTAACGGTTATCATTTATTGTGAATTGATAATTAATTAATAAATTTAATTTACGAAAATAATAACCTTTGATTCACAATAAATGATAACTGTTGATTGACAGAAATCAACGGTTAAGATTATGATTGTAAATAAAAATAGATTGTAAGTATAACATTCTTCAAAAATCAAATATATTATATAATTTAGGTTTCGGAGCGCGGGGGAGGCAAATGACAGTTGTTATAATTAAGGTGCTTATCTTTCCATCAGCGCTTTGATATGTAATTTTTTTTAAAAAAATTTTAGAAATTATTTCTCTCATTTTTAATCACTGCATATAATTTATGGGTTTAACATTTTTTTTTGCTGCAAAATTTCTTGTCCCCTTATATAAAAATGAGTAGATCTCGTTAATTTTTTTTTTATAAAAGCAGAAATATTTTTTTCCATATTTTATTAAAGAACAATTATATTTACTACCATAGTAGGTTACGACTCTTAGCACCTTATTGATTACTATTGAATTAATTTAAAATCAAATGTTGAAAACTGAAATTTTTTTAACTGTAGTTGATTTCAAAATGATATAACCAATAATAAGAGTGGTAAGTTTAAAATGATAATAAATATAACATTCCTCATTTTATTATTATTTTCTTTAAACAAATGCGTCTGAAAAATTTTGTGTGCTGATAAAATTGTTGGCAGTTGTATGCCGAGTATCTTACGCAGCTTTTCTTCTATTCTTGGGGATGGCCTCAGGGAATTACTTTAAAAACTTATCGACAGGATGACTTCTTTCTTAATAATCTTTTAATTAGAATATTATTGAGCAAGTAATTTGTTCTTATATTACATAGGCTTGGACGAATTATAAAATAAATAAAGGATATCAATAATACTTTTGGTGTCCTCTCATTTCAAAGATTGACAAACAAAAATTCATGAATCAATTTTAGAAAAGAGAAATAATCAATTTTGGTCAACATATTAAAAATAATTGGACCATTTATTAATAAAAAATGAATATGATTGGAGGATTATTTTAACTATAAAAATAAAGGAGGATTATATATATCTTCTAAATACTTTCTTGCTAGCTGCAACGCTGATATTGTAAGGTGTGTTAGACCGCAAACTTATTTATCATTTGAGTAGCTCTTTATGGAGAAAAGTCAATGAACTATTATTTTAATTTATAATATATTTGATGACTATATATTTACCATTTTATAACTAAATAATCATATTTTATTCATGAATTAAATTAGAAACATATTCGTAACTTACACTCAATTGGAATATTACATAGTTTACGTTTACGCCAAGAATTTCTTGATAAATACATCGTTGTATAAGTCAATATTTGTTCCTTCCCAATGGCTATTTTGACATATATTTCTATGTGGAAAATGGCATTGTAGCGAGCTTCCTCTTCCATGTAGTCCTTCCTCTGACAATTTCATCGTTTTGTTTCTCTCCTTTGATTTGTAGAAGATGTGTATACCTTATTGGCCTCTGCTCAAGACAGGTCAGGACCCCACCACCATTTATAATATCTGGTGATGCCAAGGACAACCCATTAAGCAAACTCGTGCAGTAATCTTGTTCCACCACACCATGTAGTATTTCATCTTCTTCAGGTTCACATAGTGATTGAACTATATCTGAACTTCCACACTCCCTTCTGTACTCTAGTGTGATACCAGATAATTGGAAGCCCTCAAGAAATTGATCTGGGATGTTCTATAAAATAAATCAATAATAGAAGTTAAAAAGAGTTAACTATATATATGACATTAATTCATTATGACTCTAGTGAAGAATAATGAGTAGATAAATTTTGTAACTTACCTCTAGCATCCATCTTACATACTTCACATTATTAACATGTTGGTTCATGTCCAAATCACTTCTCTTGGGCTGCAAAGTAGACAGAGTCATTAAATTGTGTACATTATTTATATGATGTGGCAGCATTTAATTATGGATTCGTTTTTTCTCCGTTTGCAGTTAAGTTATCTGCAGTAAGTTTAATACGACGTCGTTTTGGAGTGGAAATCGTAGTGTTTTTGTAATTTTAATTTATTTTAAAATTATTATAGTCTTTATAATTATAATTTTTTAACATTTCAATCCCAAAATGACGTCGTTTTGAGAGTAAATGCAGATAACTGTAGAAATATTTTTCTGTTTAATTATAATGCATAAAATGGTATACCTTCAAGTCAGAATTCAAGTATTTTGCCTCTTTGTCCAATTTGACAATTTTTTCATGAGCATCTTCCTTTATTGCTTGCTTTTCTATAAACCAAGGTGTAAGTTCATCCCTCACTTCTTCTGGCATTTTGGAGAGGCGTCTTGATTTACAGTTCATCATCACCCATGTGCTGTTTTTATGTTAATATCAATCAGGTATATATTAAGGGGGGAAGCTGAGAAAATCTTCTAAAATGTTAGAAAAATTGTCATATACATGTATACCTTGTTGCACGAGCAAAAATTTGACCTGTGGCTTGACTTCTTATCAACCAGTCACGCCGCATTCCATTCTTGCCAGATGCTCCAACCCATGTGTCAATTTCAACTATCTCTCCCCTGATGATACATGTTAAGTGCATTACTAGTTATTACTTATTATGATTCTGCTATGCCATGATGATTGATGAGACTTGATAGTAAAACTAAAACTTCATTTTCTTTAACTTTGTTTCAAATATTCTGCCAATTTGCTAATACTTTATGGCCAGTCACAATGTATTCTGACTCTGATAATGTGCTCTGAAGTTCTTTGTTTAGTTAAGTTTGGGTTGGCCACGGTCCATGATATGTTTAAATATTGAATATTTAAATGAAATTCTATGCTTATCTTGGTCAACACATGTCGCTATTAGAACAACTAGGAAGTCTCTAGTTTTCTGCTGCTAAAAGGGTACAAGAAATTAAAGAGGTCTTGAATATGAAGAAAATTCCTAGGAGAACCTTCAAGAAATGGTGCAATTTTGTCGAGTAAGAATTGTCTGTAGTGAGGTGAAAATTTTTAAATTTGATTCTATCTTCCTAATAAAAAATTATTAGAAAAGTCCAAATGTACATTGCATTCATTTATGTCCTTGTAGTTGTAGTTATTATCAAGGACAGGTACTTACCAGATGGGATAGTAATCAATCAAAACTTGCATTCTCGAGACAACCCAAATGAGATCGTTCCTCATCATTCCATGTGTTGCTCCAAACCCATCACCGAGCAATCCAGACATCCATACATGGTTCAATGCTGTTTCCTGCATATAATACAAGCTAGCTATATGAAGGACTATGAAATGAAAGGAAGCAATCTTTTATTAATGTTAATATTTTCTGGAGAATATGGTATATATACCAGAGTCTATGAACTTAAACGTAGCATTTAAAGGCTTAATCACGCGAACCGCTCTGAATAGGATTAGTCACGAAGCGATGAACTGATTGGAATATCTCCAAAAAATGTAGGATTTTAATTGTACTAAAAAAAAAAGTTAGGATTTTAAAGAATTGTAAACTATTGTGTGAAAAAAATAGAATATGTAAAAATAATTGACGGAACATTAACATATTATACCAATATGAGGTAGGATCCTTCGACACCAGTATCAAATTTGAAATTTAACACCTCATCTGATAACCGTTAGATCAAAGAAGATCAATGGGAACAAAACAATGAAGCCCTTGTGGTTTTTATGAAGAAAACTTAGTTAAATGATATTAACTCACCTGAAGAAGATTGAGGATGCTCTCAAGTGTGGCGGTTTTATCAGCTCCAACTTCATAGGATCTAATAACAATAGTCTGTCTGTAACCAACTCCACCTTCAACCATGAGCCCTTGACGATAAGGATCAGCCATTTGCTTCTTTGTTGGGATGTATAAGCGTTGGCCATTTTCAGCAAGGGTAACACCCTGACCAAGAGTACTTGGAGCTGCTGCTTCAACTGTTTGGTTAAGTGTCTCAACTTTGATTGCAGAACTTAAAGTCCCATTAACTCTGATGCTGCTGCTATTCAGTGATTTCTTAAGCTGGTCATCGTTTCCTTTCATGGAACAGCACCTTACAACAAGATAAGCAGAGGCTGGATATGAGAAAGTAGCAGCCATTATTATTCTCTATTTTGTTCTTTTTCTCCTGATGATATGGAAGGAGAGAGGTTGGAAGAGAAGAATGGGGAATAAAACATTTTTATAGTTTAAGTTTAGGCGGAATTATTAAAGCAGGACAAATAAATGAACTTTGTGAGTAAGCTGATATCAAAGAGGTCTTGGTGTTTGTTTCGGATGTAGCTTTTAGGTTTGTCCCATTTGAAAAAGGATACGCCCTAGAACTGATCGTTAAGGTAAACTCTGAACAAAAGCTTGTTTAGTAGTTTGTGTAAGGCAATTTTGTATGTTTGTGAAATACAGAAAGTGGGAATTTTTCTGAGGCTTTCACTAGCTGTAGTACTACTAGCCTGACATGTTAAACTTTGTCTTCTTCTATAATACTGGGGGCTGGACTTTGAAATTTGGTCAGCTATGGATAAACATGGTGCTCAATATTACAAAGGTAGTTGGTAGAAAACAGAAAAAAAGAAGCTAACTCTAGAAGGTTGACATGAGGCAACAGAATCAGACACCCTGTTGTTGAAAATTCTGTGTTGCGTGGAAGAATCCGAACTTTCTTGGAATTACTATGTTTTCTGTCGTTTGTTAGGATTTAGGAAGATTGGAAATTATTATAAGAACTGGGAGTATATCAAATCAACTGAACATTTGTAAAGGTTGCTTGAAATAACTTTTTTTTTTTTTTTCAGCATGAGTTAATAAAAATGAACATAGTATATGACAAATGGAGGTTGAACATAGCACAAAAAAGCAACTTGATGAATGGGAATGGGATGTTTTTTTGCTAAATTGCGAGGTTTTTGTAAGTTTGTTTATTTGTGTATTTATATTTTTTTAATTTTTATCTTGGATGTAACACTTTTTAATATTATTATCATGTGTTGTCATACTACATTAACAAAAAATTTCATAATCATTCTAATATTTTTTAAAAGCAATTCTTATCCATAAGATATAGTTCATTCACAAAAAAAAAAAAAGAGTGTATAATTAATTTGCTTTTATACTGCGGTATCACATTATGCAATTTATTTGAAACGTCACAGTCAAAATCACTCTCCAAGGTTACATAACAAGAAATTACGCTGTATGTCTGGGAAACCTCATGCAAGTTGAATATCTTTGGGTCGGCAAAAGTGATTTGGAATCAGTATCACTATATTTGATAATTTTAGAACAAAATCAATTTTACATCAAAACCATAATTGTGTTGCATGTATGTTGACAAAAGTATTTTAATTTATCATATTATTATTTTAATTTTTTTACATAGCCAATTAATAATTATATATCTAACAGTAATTTTCATCAATAAATCTGAATATTACTTTTATGAAAATAATTTTCTAAATATAAAATTTGAAGATAAACCATTACATATCCTAATTGATAACTGCTGTATCTTTTTAAATTGTTTATGTTTCCTTTCGTCCATTGGGCCTATTTAGTTTCTTTTCCTCTCTAAGTTTCGTCTATAGAACCTCCAGAATCCGGTATTCAAAATGGTTCATGTATATCTTAATTACACATATCTCACTTTTGCTTTCAGTGAAAAAATGAAAATGTTGCTTTGATAGTTAATATAAGACTTATAATGTTTGAAAAATAGTACATTCCGTTCACTAAGATGTGAAGGAAAACTTGAAAGTGGATTCACTAAGTGATTTGTGAAACTAAATTTCAAAGCTGTAAACGTGATTTTCTCAAAAATAAAATAAAATGGCATCTGATAACATATTAGAAAAAAAGAAAGAGTACTGAATATTCTTCATTAACAATTCATTTATTTGCAAACCAACCCATTTAGATCCTTTTTTTTTGGTAACTAAGGATCTAGATCCTTTAGCCTAACAGATAGTGAAAAAATAACAAACTTGGTTTAAATAACAAACTCAGCAAAACGAGCAAAAAAGAAAACAAACCTTTTACAACAGAATTCCTATTTCTAAATTTACAATTGTACCCTACAATTCTAACAGAGTGATAGAGTTAATGCCTTTTCTTTGAGCAAAGGAGTGCCAAATCCCAGAACTACACAACACAACTTGGATACGAGGCAAGAAAATTCCAACCAAATCAGGTGCTAAATATCTAAAACAGCAAGAGGGTCCGGAGGGTTTTGAAAGTGAGCATAAAACTAGATTCTGTTATTAAGATCAGACCAGCACACACCTATCAGATTGGATTGTAGTTTGTAACGCAAGAAAAATAATAATTATGGATATGTGTGGTTTAAGAACTTTTTTTAATATTTTTATTAATAATTATAGAAATGTCATTTTTCCCTTACTTGATTGCTTGAATTTAAAGACTCGCATAAAAAACGATAAAAACTTTTCCTGTAAAAGTCTTTAAGCAAAAGAAATTATTATTTTTCTAAAAGTCTTTAAAAACAAAATAAAAGTATGAATATATCTAATTGTGCAAGCAGACCAAGATTTGCATAAATACATTTAATTCTTGTGCACGTAATTAACCCAACACCTTCATGCGAATGACATAATAGAGAAGCAGCTGCGAAGTGTCCATGGAGGCTCTGTTTCCGCACTTCATATCCTCCAATGTAAACAATAATAATAATAAATTAAAAAAAACAAGAGAAGCAAATCTTGACCATCCACGTAAGATTGAATGATCAACATTAGCTCATCTCATCTCATAATACAAAAGGGATTTGTTTTGTTTTATTTATATTTTTACTTTTTTCAATATATGTTGTTATATAATGAAATATATGCTGTGTGCGTGAAAAATAGATCATGTTCCTTGAAAGGCTGACACAGAAGCGATAGAGCAACCAGTTTTGAAGATGAAACAAATATTGAAATTTGTTTGCACAGAAGAGATGAAAAAAAAAATTCATTTCCATATACATCAATTATAATCAAGAAAAAGAGTTGACTAAAAGAATAGATAGGCTGAGCTTATCAGAGATCGGAATCATATCTCATACATGTCAAACATAAGCAATGAAACTCATGTCCCTCAGGTGGTTTTAGCCTTCACGATCCATTAACTTTTGAAGGATAGCCTGCCAAAATATATAAATTAATAATTTATGCTCCAATCACCTACCTCCACAAGCGTGACATGTAACGATGACTGAATGAAGTTACATAAAGTAAACCAGAAAAAGAAAACAACCCAAAACACGATCAAATGCTTTCAAATTTAAAAGAAATCCATGCAATTCTAGTTACTTAATGTGGCACATAAATAAAATACAGTTGGGCTTATTCAGTCAGTGAACTTACTGGGCATGAATGATATGCTTTCAGTCCCTGATGTAGTTCCGCAGATGAGACTAAAAGCTTTACAGGACGGAATTCAACGGACAAACTATGTCCTCTATTGTCCGTGAAACATACTAATTCACGATGTATAAGATGTTCAAATGCCTACAAGCACAAAGTAAAAAGAACATCAAATAAGCTTGGGATTGAGGACAAATTATAGGAAACACACCATCACCAACATTTACTATATATTGTACGTTTGGCTTAAATAAATCATCAAAGCAAGTGCACACACCCTTAAGCAAACATTCCGCGCATGATAATCAGAAGTCCGGAAGGAATCATGTATACTTTTATACTCTGCAAAATATGGTTGACACGTTAAGGTATTACGTAATAGGAAGAATGAAATAAAAAACTAAATATTACCTTTCATTACAGAATTGAAGTTGCATAAACTTTGCTCTTTAACCTCCAATCTCTTCATGCAAACCAAAATATAAAGTTCTAAAATGGAGCAATCTGCTTACAAGAGGCAAACATAATCCATCAGTAAGTAAACTAAATTATGGATAAAACTCCAAGACAAAAAAACAAAGCCCATCAATAAGAAATTTTAGCAACACCCTCCATATCATTGAGTAAACTTTATATTGGTCCCAGTAAATAATCTAACCCACTCTATTTAGTGGGACCCACATGAAATTCACCCAATAATAAAATGTGTGTAAAAGAGTGTATAGCTAGCATTCCTCCCCATCAAACAGGAACAGGCTATAAAGAAGAATTTTAAAGCGGATGAAATCTCTAATACAGAAAGAAGAGCCTATTATAAGGTCATTCAGTCTTTGAATGGGTGTTGACAATCACATAGTAAACTATCTAAAGTTGCCATACTTCTTAAACATTCCAGTTTGGGCTGCCTCTGGATACTTGAAAATGCACTTTCAAAGTTCTCCTGGGACAGAAACCCGGTCTGCAAATCCATATGAGAGACTGCACAGAATCTAGAAAATCATCGAACTTGCATAAGTCTAGGACAGTCTATTTGATATTCAAGAGCTAACCGAAGTGTGAAAAAAAACTTACAGGAACCTCAGCAAATGTTTGACAGACGAGTCAAAATTTAAAAATTTATTGAAGGTTTCTTTGAACCTTCTGTCTTCTATAATATTCTGTAAGTTGTCAAAGAATTCTTTACCAAGTACAAAAGTGTGAATTTTCATCAATCAAGAAAATACAAAAGCGTGCATTTTCTGTAAGTAGACAACATCAAAACAGTTTTTATAGACATAAACAGAAACTAGCTTTTGTCAATGAAATCAATTTACTAACAGAAACACAAATACAGTAAATGCAAAGAACTGTAAGGGTTAGCAACAATAGTTCTTTCAGCAAAGCTCATTAACTAGAAGCATATGGACATCTGGACAAACATGCAAAAATGTATGCATTATGGGTTGGCATCCAATTATTAAGTCTTCATGATTACAGAATACAACAGGTATGCAAACTCCAAGCGGTTGGTGAAATGAATAAATTATTACAGGTGGCACTTCTGTTTATCTTGAAGGCCACTAATCAACTAGATTCAGCATAAAAAGGATACTTGGACCTTTCTATTAAATTCAACAGCATAATCATCTGGAAAGCTTGAATCTACTGGTAGTGTCAGCATGTGCAGCAGTAATCTGCATAACAAGAAGTCAAAGAACAGTGTGTTTAGCCTCATATTCAGTCGAGTCCAGTGGAAATTACAATCTATCCACCTCTGAGAGTCTTCCATTGAAGGTGGTAAAAACAACAGCTTTCTATGTGAAAAACGAGATCGTACTCTTTTCTCCAACAGCTGATCTGCATCCTGCAAGGTGGATTAAGGTGATTTCCAAAAGTTATGTCATTATCTACAACCACCTCATGCAATGATAAATTCTTTCTCCAAAATATATATGAGCAAAACAAATTGGGGAACTCACAATCCAATAATAATAATTTGTAAATCACAAAATAATATCAATTTAATGGAATCCTTTTGTTTTCTTGAGAAATCACGTATAGAAAGTCAGGTAATATGATATTCCTCACTATAGTTGAAAGTTTATAAGAAAAAGGAAATAACTGTAAAGCACACACCAGCCGGCAACTAATGCCAAGTACAACAGCCTGTGATGTTACTGACTGCATTGCATCTAGCAAGCTATAAAGTAGCCGCTGTTTACCCTGCAGAGAGTCAGGATGGAAATTGTAGCAAATGTGTGATTAAAGAAGTTAAACTGAAAAAGTATAATAGAAAATATTTCACACAGACGACAAACAGGATTATTTAATATAGTAAGAAGTCAATCGTGAAAAACGAATAAGAATGAAAAATGAAAAGGTCGTCTTATTCAAAACCCCTATTATGAAATCCCTTTTCTCCCACTTCACACCTCGGAACACACCGTTCTTATAGAGGGGCGCTTTCACATCTTCTTAAGCCGAAATGAAATGGCTGAGGAGAGGAAATGTTTTCCTTTTTTAGGATACTCCGGGGAACATATCCAGTGGAGACGGGGTGGGGCCCGTAGCTCAGAGGATTAGAGCGCGTGGCTACGAACCACGGTGTCGGGGGTTCGAATCCCTCCTGCCCACAACCGGCCAAAAGGTCCTAATTAAATTAAGAAATGGAGCCTTTTTTTTATTTTGTTTTTTCTGAAAATGTTTAACTACAATTATAAGTTATAACCCATAATTTACACTATAAGCTTTTGAGAAATGGTCAAAGTGGAAAATAAAAATAGAGCATTACCTGAGCAAAGAGGTCAAACTCATCAAGAATAAAAATTACTGTTTTATGTGCTAATCCGCATTCCCTGGAAAACAAAGATAATAAATGCTTTAGGACTTCAAATTAATTACCTTTTTTAACCAGGAAAACTTTACTCACTTTAGCATGGCTACCATAAACTGGGAGTTGTCATCAAAAGAAGCCTACAGAAAGGTGCATATCAAGATCAACAAATGATTGACCCATAGTTGTAAATGCATAATACAAATCTTGTATAGGAAAGTCATGTTACCGCTTTTGAGAACAGCAAATGATGCTCCATGCATAACTGCCTAGCTATTTCCTGATTGATCATCATTTGCAGCAACAAATAAGACGCCATACTAGAAGAGGCAATGGTTCAACCTAAATCTACTAATTCAAACAATCTGTATAATAAGATTTATGATTTCTATAATATGCCTAACGGAATCCTCACTGCTCTTGCATATCCAGAAACAATCTGAGGTGCACTGCGCAGCTTGGACCATCACCACCCAATTCCTTTGTCGGTTCACAAGTTTTTAGCAAGTGAAAAATTTATTCCATGTCTTTTAATAGAAATTCAGAAAGAAATTTGTCACAGTTCCTCAAAGAGAATGTTTAAGCTCCCTACAAAATTTATCATCAGAGATTATCTTCAGTACTTTAATTGACCTTTTTTGTAGTAAAATTAAGCAGTTAATCACTCAACCAGACCTCATGCCAACACAATGTTCCTTTATTGTTTAGGTAAGAAGTAAGAATCTAACTAGGGTGGCAAATCAGCCAAATAAGAAGACTTTGATTGTAAACAAAACATGACTAGTGTCATCAAAAGTACGTCAAGATAAAGAACCTGAAAATAAAGTTAAGTTAGAAAACAATTTACACACAAAAAAGGGGCAATAATACCATGATAGCTGTTTCAGTTCAATTAGTATAGTACAGGCAGGTTTAGGGAATGCCAACCTTGAATGCGGATATGTCATCACTGTGCAAAAGCCCACTCAACCTGATCTGCAACAATCCACGAAAGTACAACTCAAAGTGAGAACCAACAGACTTCAATTCCCAGTAATATGCCAATATTAATGGAGAAAAAGTTCATTAAATAAATATTAATTTTTTAAGGCAACGAATACCACTGAAATTGAATCGGGATATTGCAGCAACAAATCTTGAATAACAAGCTCCAAAACCTAACAAGAGAAAACATAGTGATAAGAAAATGGAAGAAACCCTTAAAGCATAGTTTGATGATGCGCGTGAGGGACAAACCGCGATCTTCCCGGAGCCACGGGGACCGAGAAGCAGAATAGAATTGTTGCACGCCTCCGTCACCGAACTTGACATCATGAATTTGAGCTTGCTGAAAATAAATCAGTGCTCATCAATTACCGATTAATTTGAAATGATAAAACATTAATTAATATTCCTACGAAGAAATGCAAACCTGTAGTTGCTGTCAGGAGCATCGTTGAAATTGAAGATGAATTTGGGGTCACAGATTCTGCTTCGAAGCATATTCATTGCCTTCGTTTTGTGATCCTCTCTCTCCATTCCCATTGCCCACAACACAAATTGATATAAATTGGCGGGAACGAACACTGACAACTATTTATATACAAGGAAAAGAGATCAGATCAAACGCGGCCCAATACCCTACGTTGGGCTACGGGCTTCGTTCAAGTCCAATGATTACGATTTACGGAAACTCTTTCTCAAAAAGATGACCCAAACCCAATTATTAAATAAAACAAAAAAATTGATAATTATTTTGATGGATTTAGTGTTTGTTCTTTTAAATTATATGAAGTTATATCATTTTAAGTGAGAAAAAAATAAAATCAATCAAAATTATGGGAGAAAAAGTAAATATTTTTTTTAAAATTTAAATAAAAAATATTATGTTGTGTTTCTCTCTATTAAAATGACATAATTATATATCCATTGAAATGACAAATATTCTTTTTCATATTTTACTGAATTAGTGTTTTAAGACATACTTTTTTTTTTAAACACACATATAAAAGTGTGTGAGGTCTATGTTTTTTTTTTTTCATATGTTCCCACGTAAGTCCCAAATATTTTTATATATGTATAAAAAATAGAATTTATCTAATGTAACATGAGAAATATTAATCTCTTATTTTATATATTCGAGTTCTAAAGAAAGAGTTTTTTTTTGTGCATGAGATATATAGTGCATATGTCCCAAAAAAAAAAAATTGGGATTTAATGAAAAATTCATGAAAAGATATAAATTAAATGAGAAGAAAATTTTCTCTTTTTAAAAAAAAAATTTATTCACTTGGATAGAAATTTTCAACACGGCCTATATTAATTAATTTTATACTTACTTATATGAACAACATGAGAAAAAAAAAAAAAAAAAAAAAAAGAACTCGAAATATGAGGTGAGGTGAGGTGGCGTGGCGAGGCCAGAGATAAAGATAACCACCAAACAAAATCGTATCAAATAAGAGGCAGAGGCAGAGGCAACATCACGGAAACATGGGATTGGGAACCACGACTGTTCCTATGAACATTGTTCCACGATTCGGGTTGCTCCGAAACCACCTCACCTCCATCCGGGTCAACAACTCTTCCTGTTTGAGCTTCCCTGTCTCTCGGAGAAGGAATAGGAGCTTTGGTAGATTTGTTTGCTTCGCTGTTGATGATGACCTCAGACAGAAGCAGCAAGAGTTGAGTACAACTTCAAGTGGACTTGGCTCAGCCATTGAAGAAAGACCTGGTAAGTATGCAAGTGCAAAACCCACTTTCTGAAATTCAACAACTTTCATCTTTTCCTTCATATTAATATAATGATTATATGCCTAAAAGATTTCTAGCAAATTTTGAATGATTGTCTTGGTGATATGTTTCCACAACTGTAGTTGATATGGTTAAGATCCTGACATCTTTCTTATGTTAGAAAATACGGATCTGCTTGGTAGTGCAACTGAAGAAACAGCGGAAAATTTTAAGCAAGATGGTGAAGGAAGTGCTATCTATGATTTTCTTTACCCTAGTAAAGAGCTTCTTCCTGATGATAAAGAAATGAGCATATTTGATCATCTTGAAGAGCTGCGACAGAGAATTTTTATATCAGTTCTAGCAGTTGGAGCAAGCATTTTGGGATGCTTTGCGTTTTCAAAAGAACTCATAATGGTTCTTGAAGCTCCTGTCAAAACACAGGGTGTAAGATTTCTTCAGCTAGCTCCTGGCGAATTTTTCTTCACGACTGTAAAGGTAACATTTTTTTACATGTATCTCTCTGGGTGGGTATTGCTTCCTTCCCTATCTAGTGAGTTGTGATGTTTATGTTTCTTGGTATGTATATCGTGTAAAATTAAACCAGTGCTATGCTGTTGACTCTTGCTTTATCAGGAATGTACAAAGTAGCCTTAATTCTTATGTCTGCCTTATAACTAGCTCGTAAACTAAGGTTAATGGCCTAGGATGATATAAATTTATGTTTGTTCTTGGGCTAATTGCTTTTTCACTAAGACTTAGCTTAAATTAAAATTCAAATAAGACCATTGTCCAAATAAACTGTTATTTATAAAAACAAGAACCATGTAATCTTTTTTGAGTAAATACAGGGTGGTGATTTCTACTTGCATAACATCAATTGATAAGATCCTTGGATGACACATGGCACAAAGTATTCCTGTTTGAATGGCCAAAATATACTTTGTGTGTGTGTTCTACTTTAATCATATTCTGTCATGATCAGTTTTTTTTTTTTTTTGGTTTAATTCTATCATGATTAGTTTGTTAAAGAAAAATGTTATTACCTAGCTTCCAGGCAATTAAAACCGGGAAACATTATGTGATGTTGTGTTGTACTTTAACCATTTTGTATACCCATCTAAATTGAGATCAAACTAATATAAACAAATAAAATATAGGAAGCTACCCTGCTAAAATTAATATCTATAATTTTGTACTGCAGGTGTCTGGATATTGTGGCCTCCTCTTGGGAAGTCCCATCATCCTCTATGAAATCATAGCCTTTATACTTCCAGGTCTAACAAAATCTGAACGAAGGTTTCTAGGGCCAATTGTCTTAGGCTCATCGGTTCTTTTCTATGCCGGAATAACATTCTCGTACTTAGTTCTGACACCTGCAGCATTAAATTTCTTTGTTAGTTACGCTGAAGGTGTTGTTGAATCATTGTGGTCCATTGATCAATACTTTGAGTTTGTTCTGGTGCTTATGTTCAGTACAGGCTTGTCTTTTCAGGTGATTTTTTCTTCCTGGTTTTATTCTTCTAAAGTACCTTCTAACTGACACCGATACATGCCATGAGGCCATTGACCCAAAGGCATGTCCTCCGCTCCCAAAAAATATGGATAATAATTATGTAGAAAGGAGCAAATGATTACATTTTTAAATATGCCTGCCTCAGGTCAATTTGGAGTTATGAACAATATGGATATTCCAATATGCTTCTGTTAGGAATTCGAACGAAAGCCATGCTATTGCTATTAAGTTGAAGAATGCTCATAAGATAGTTTTTCTTTACAACTCCATTTGTAATCAATCATTCTTTTGGACTATAGTTTTGCCTAAATGACTATGCTTTTAACTAGTGCTTGAGGAAACAAGAACAAGAAGTACTCTCTAACTATTTTTGTATTGTATTATACCTGTAATCCTTTTTTCCTTCCAAACTTTGGTAGTAATGGAATCTAATGGAAGTCATATTGCAGGTACCTGTTATACAATTTCTATTGGGACAAGTTGGATTGGTGTCTGGAGACCAGATGCTATCAGTTTGGAGGTATGTTGTGGTTGGCGCAGTAGTGGCAGCTGCTATAGTTACGCCATCCACTGATCCTCTCACTCAAGTTCTTCTAGCAGGACCATTATTGGGTCTTTACCTAGGTGGGGCATGGATGGTCAAGCTTACAGGACGGTGACCTTAGCCCCACATATCTTGATATGTGCTAGAATTTTGTCAGCCTGAACAAATGTTCATGTACATTCACACAGCAATCTAGTGTATATTTTTACTTGTACCAGAGCATAACCCTTCCTATATTCTGATTAATTTAAACATATAATTCTGTAACTAGTTATTCCCAAATTCCGTCAGATCTTGGCATTTGGAGCTATTGGTTTAAAAAATCTTCCTTACAGTTAGATTTGGTTTCAGTTCTATATTTCATCACACGCTTTTGAAAATAAAAGTTCTTGATTTTTTATAACAATTTTTAAAAAATTATAAATAACTGAATAAAGCTTTCGAAGGTGAATCACATCACCCATATAGTTCAGACTTCAGAGTAATAAAGCTTACATGAGACATAACAACACCTCGAATCCACATGCCGCTTTTAATTTTAAATTACTATTGATGCTATCATTATTTTAAATAAATAAAATCATAAATGTAAACTATAATTAGAAATGAACCTAAAAAAATTCCGAGCTAATTCAATTGTGATGGAATGGAATTATAGTTGAGGTCTTAATTTTGGACCGCAATACCAATTCTGGTTTACTATCGGAGATAGTAATAAGCAGAAATCTCGTTGATAATGGCATCCTATGGTAACTAAAAGTCCAAATCCAGCGTTGACCAGTAAATTCTACAGAGTCAACTTCATTGCACATAAAAAAAAATACACACATAAGAGTCTACTTATTGGCTAATGTAATATTTTCCACTTTGGCTTCTATATCAGCAGTACTAGATGTACTTAGTTCAGAAGCAAGCTGTCTTAGTGAACTCCTCAAAGCATTGCATGCCTCCAGAAATACATCTGATGCACCTTGAAGTCCTCCTACCTCTTCCTGCACAACATCAATAATGCTATGGATTTTATCCAAAGATGCCTTTATGGTAGGAATCTCTTGTGGGGGGTAGAGGCAGGCTCCAATCTCATCAATCTGTTGACCAATCTCCTGACACAGCTGCAACAATTTCTCCAGCGAATTTACAAAACTGCTGTTGTCATTTGGTTTTTCCAGCTTAAGCAAGCCTGTGATGGAGCGAATGAGTTCTTTTATGACTGAAAGCGTATTAGACACGACCACAACTGCTCTTTCCGCCACTTTCATCTCTTCAGGTGACAGGTCATTCCCCAGACCATCTTCATTTGAATTATCATCACGTGGCTCAGACTCTGTTTCTACACAACTCTCACCTACAGCTTTGTCAGCAGGATCATCAGATGAACCTGGCTTCAATTCTTTCATCTCACGAAGAACGTCCTTTACTGAAACCGCAACCTGTGTCATTCCTCGCCCAATCGCTGTAATATTTGTTGCAGGAGTCTTTTTAAGGGCAGAGCATGCTTCCCATACAGCACCAACCAATTGTGGAATTGATAAATTATGGTCTTTACTATGGGATCCTGTTGGTGTTAATTAAAAGAGAAAGTAAGACCGTCAACAGAAGATTAGAAAAATTAGATGTAGGATCAGAATAAATGTATTGAAATACGAATTAATGGGCATATCAATGATGATAAATGATAATGATAAATGCCAATGTAAATAAAAATGATTTGCAATAGAACTTAATAAAGGACCAATGAATTAATGGACATGTCAATGAGGATAATGATAAATGTCAATGCAATCAAAATCATTTGTGATGAAGCTTAATGAGTTCTACGAAACAATAGTAAAAATAGAAAAACACAAGAGTTAAGAGAAGTCCATCTCAGTATCCCACCTCATATTTTGTGTTTGTTGAGAATGATAACAGCAGTCAAATTGTATTCTATGAGCATGGAGACTGATAATTTAAAGTCTACTCATAAGAGCATGCTGTGGGCATTCCAAAACCGAAAGTATTCCTAAATCAATACCTCTTTTATATAACCTTACCCAATTCCCCAGATTAATCTCAGATTTCTTAATCTATGTGTTTTTCATCCTATTTAAGCTTTTCTTTCTTTCTTTTTTCTTTTTTTTTTTTGGTGAATGGGCAATGCCCAAAACAAAACAAAAAGAATTACATCAAAGAGTGTCTAGCCCTATAAACAGAGCTAAAATCAGAAAAATATAACCATAGAATTTCAGGTGGGGGATCCTGAAAGCTAGAGAAATCTTGTTGCTCCAAATTTTGCAAAGGAAGATTAACTAGCCAGTCTGCACAGCAATTGCCTTCCCTGTATGTATGCACCAAACGAAGACTCCAATCTTTTGAGAGCCATTCCCGTATCTGAGTCACTAAATGCGACTCACAGGATGCATCACCAGACTTGGTGAGCAAAGTGATAGCCGAAGCTGAGTCACTCTCTAAAATTAATTTCCTCCAACCCAAGCCATGTCCAACCCTTTCAGAACACCCCACAATTCAGCTGTAAGTGCATTACAAAAGCCCACTCTGTAGGAAAAAGCTTCTATCCATCTACCATCAGGACCTCTTAACAGGCCACCACAGGCTGCAATACTCGGGTTCCCTTTAGAAGCTCCATCTGTATTAAGCTTAATCCAACCATCCTCTGGTGGTATCCACCTTATCATCTCTATACTCATCATTCTGCCAGATTTCTTGTTTTCCTCAGAAGAATGGCTGACATAACCTCTATAGCCATAACACTAATCAACTCTAACTTGTATCTGTTTTCCACACAACCAGAATTATGGATAATTTCATTTCTCCAAATCCAAACTTTCCAGCAGGTTATGCCAAAAATAATTGCCCAAGGAATTCCCACCAAGCTAGGTGACACCTGATTTAAATTAGCAATCAACCAATCATGCAAATTTAAATTAAAAAAGGAAGTATCAGCCAAACAAGGGGATAACCGAAGCCAAATATCTTTAATATTTGCACAATCTCTTAATAAATGAAGAGTATTTTCTTCTCCTTGCAAGCAAACTGGGCAAACTGCACTACCCAACTGAAAACTATTTAACTTTTTTCTAGTTGGAAGGCTATCATGACCAACCTTCCAAAGAAAGAACTTGATTCTTTGAGGTCCTAACCAATTCCAAATTACCTTCCATAATTCAGGAGATCCACTTTGAATACTACCAGTTTCTGTAAAAACCGAATACAGCCCCTTAACAGACAGCTTCGGATAGCCAGGGATATAACAAACAAGCTTATCGGCACCATCATTTATGCAGGGGGGAAGAAAACTCTTTATGCGATCAATTACATCAGTTGGCAGCCACCTTCTCATGGTATTTATTTAAGCTTTTCTTAAGTACAATGCCATACCACACTGGAATATGATTTTAGATAACATTTAATCCAGTTTCATGAAAAGAGAAAACTCCAAATCAAAATTACTATGATACATCACAAGTTATGTTCAGCTTCCAAGAAGATTGGATAACAAATTACAAAATTTGTTTACGAAATATAAACTTCCTAAAATTCCAAATCTTAAATGATATGGTTTAGATAGACATTTGTTCCCCAAAGTTCTCCAAGTTACTGTAGGTAATATTATATTTAGTAATGTGCTATGGTTCAACAGAATTAATCAACGAATTATCTTTATTTTCCCTTTTTTCTTTTTGGGGAGTGGGGTGGGGGCACACCAAAAAAGAAAAGTGGTTTTGTATAAACACAACTAACACCATCAGCACCAGATCAACTAATGATGTGACTGTCAACATCCCCAAAGAAAAGGGCATAAAATCTTTTGTGAAAATGATGAAAACATGATGTTACAGCACTTAAAAGCACCTCTACCACCACCTAGGCATGTGAAATAAAATTAAATATCTGGGCCGGCATCATAACGGCCATCTCCTTCGCCACCAATATCACCCATATATCATGTTATCGTTAACAGGTTGCATGTTTCTCCCTCAACCCTCAATACCATGTCTCCCCTTCTATGTTCCTGAATCCTGACAGAGAAAGTGGATCAGACTCATGGTCTACAAATTAGGATGTTCTCACTTTTTTGCTCTCATCTCCTTTCTTTCTTCTCTCTATTCGCATCCCAGTGCCAATTGAAGTGAGATCTAACTGATTCATATATTTTACCAAACCAAGCACTAATTATAACAACACTGCTTGAATTTAAAGATTGAAATAGATCAGCTCTTCATAAAGTCGTTATATAAAATTTTGATGTCAGCAATCAGTAGTTCAATACACTATTCAGAGATTATCTTTCTAGATCAATTATTAAAGGTCTGTAATAATCTTCTGCGTTTATCTACGTATGTTTGAGAGAGAGAGAGAGTGTACCATATAAAGAGACAGTTTCCTTCATCAACCTGAAACTGGAATCAACAACTTGTTTAACTGAGGCATGAACACTGGAAGACAGAGTAGGCCCCGCACCTACTGTACTGCCATGGGAAAGCAAAAGGAAACCTTGTAGAGTGTTGAAGTATGAAGCCATATTTTCTTCAATTGCTTTGGACTCTGGCTTTTCTCCAGTCCAAAGCATTCCAACTGGAAGAAGAAAGAAGCTATATTTAATCCCATAAATTCATGCCATCATATGCGAACAACTCATTATACTAATAGGGCACTTCTCAATACAAATGGCAAGAAATATTGAAAGCAGAAACTCAATCTTTCTCCTTTCACTATATAACAAAATTAGATCATTCACAATCTCAATGAATTTTTTTTTAATCCTCATGAGTAACGAAAACTGTTTAACACACAAAATTATTTGATTCAATACCATCTTAGTGTTTAAGAGAGGTAAGTATTATCCATAGATACATAGGGAAAGATTACTGGCATAATGAGATTATATTATTTGCATCAGCATCTGGTCTAAACAAGAAAAAACATAAAATAAAATAAAATAAAATAAAAAGAGGAAGTTTTCATTGAAATTCATGCAATTAACCTTTGGAAGAGAAAGAACTTTTGGAATAATCAACAGATAAAATGCAAAATTGAAAAAAACCCATTAGACAAAAACATTTTTTTTTTTTTTTTTGAAGAATAGTGAACCTGTGGTTGCCTGTTTTGAGACTTGGTCACCCATCTTAATGACATCTTCCCAGCTCACTTTATCCAAAGAAGAAGATGCAGTTTGATCCAAAACCTAAAAGGGAAGACAAAGATTATGTGGTGTGATGATAGCAGGTGAGAGGGAGTTGTTGATGATGATATATACATACATGGAGGGTGTCATGGATGGTGGTGAGGTGAGAACCTAGGATTAGGTTAAGGTGCTCTTTCTCCGCTCTTACGGGCATGCTGCTTACTCGAAAGCACAATAACTCACTAACTACGCTTCAACGGCTCCACCGCCTCTCTCAATGGCTTCAGTGAACCATAAATCATATGTGGGGGTTGACTGCGTTCTGAATTTTTGCTGCTTCAAGTACACGAGAGTGACAATCGGCAAACATTTTCTTTCATCTTAATCTTAAACCTTAAACATGTAAAGGTATGTTATTTTAATGGAGACAAAAAATAAATAAAAAAGGAAGAGAACGAATACAAAAAAAATAAAAGTGTGGTTTTTATTTTTTGTAAAAGTAAAAAAATATAAGTTATATCATTTAAAACGATAAATATTTTTTCCTTTCTTTTATGTCTATAAACATAAATAAAAAATGGGATTAATGTTTTTGCGATAACATATTGTTATTGGTAAAAGTGTGTATCATTTTAAGGGAGAAAAAGAAACAGATAAAGCAGGAGAGAATGAACAAAAATATATATAAAATGTGGGTCCTACCTCTCTACGAGAGTGAAATGAAATGACACTAACTTCTATCATTTAAAAGGGACAAACGTTATTATATTTTAATCGGTGATTTTCGTTAAGCAATTATTATTATTTTTATAAATCAAACTCATTAATTAATTATTAATTCACGATAAATAATAACCGTTGATTGGAAGAAATCAATAGTTAAAATATGATAATGACATTAGTAGTAACATTATTTGATAGTAATAATATCATATCCTAATCTTTTTTAAGAAATAATTTTATCTCTTATATATACATAAAAGTATATGGGAGCCTATATGGGACATATGATTAGAAGAAAGAAAGAAAAATATAAGTACTACCTACTTTTATATAGGTGTAAAAAATAAATTTATTTTTTATAAAATGGGAAATATTAATTGGCCTTTTGACCTTGGCACTGTGATTTTTAATATATATGACCGGAATAATTTTTAGATCATATGTTTTGCCTAAACAATGCATAACAACATGGCTGGGCAAGGGACGTTTTAAGACATGACACTCTATATACAGCGTCCAATACAAACTCTGACATGCCATGAGACGTGATACCATGAAAGCCACGTCCCTTGCAAAATGATATGCACAAGACGTGATTGATGCTCAATCACGTGTCAGAAAGTCACCAACTTTTAATTGTTAAGCGTTTAATCCTGGGGTCTTGGTGATAATACTTTGGATAAATCATCATTTTTATGTCACTGTTAAAGTTCCATTGCTTTTCGGATATGAATTAGATGAATTTTCACTGACTGACTGAACTACTAAGGAGTAAGGGCCCAATTTGAATGTGCTAAGCACATTTGTTTAGTCCCAATTAAAATTCACCAAAGTCGTCTGAAATAGTTTACGAGGAAAACAAAATTTATCTATCAGTTTTCTTATGTTTTCAGCTAATCTGTTTAGTTTTAAATTTAAATTTGATATAATTTAATTCAAAGAAATTTGAAGTAAATAGATTGTTGTTTTACTTTTTATTTTTATTTTTATTTTTTCAAGGAGGCAATAAATAAACTCTGATTATATATTTTCTTTTCTTTTGTATGTACAAAATCGTCTCTTTTGCAATGAAGATTTTTTTTTTAAAGTAGAATACTAATTAAGATTTCAAGTGTATTGTTTCTGAATGCTCAAGTAATTAGAAACAATACACTTGAAATCTTAATTACTATTCTACTTTTTTAAAAAAAATCTTCATTGCAAAAGAGACGAGTTTGTACATACAAAAGAAAAGGAAATATATAATCAGAGTAGAGTTTATTTATGAGAAAACTTCAAAAATTCCCTTACAAATTTCCTCAAAATCACTTAACCCTCTCCCCGAAATTTTTAATCATTTATTCCCATACTTAATTTTTTTTTTATCATTTACCCTCATAATTTAATTTTCCATCCAAAATTTTGTTAACAGAGTTAATTTTTTTTTTAAAATACCAAAATTACCTTTAATAGAAAAAAGAAAAACATAATTTCCTCACAAACACAGTTTTAGACGAACTCACGGAATATTTTCTTTAAGGTAGCCTTGTTAGAATTAGTAATTATTAAAATTGTTTCCTGCAAATTCTATTGCTATTAAATACCACACTCACAATTGTTGGTGTCGTTGTTCAAATAAAATGATTGAAAAAGGCATCATCTCAGCAGGTTTAGATTTTTCCTTTTCTGCTATTATATGACCAACAAATCTGGCTTTATAAATTTATTCAGAGCCACACTTTATTTGCTTGCACAACAACTGAAAAACTTTACGTTCTATGCTTCATATATGCCTTGTTTTTTCCTTAATCATATAATATTACCAAGCAAACATGCATAAAGTGCTATTTCGTTGTTTTCTGTGTCGTTGAGAGTAGAGGAAGAATTCAATCGTTGATTTATATTCATGTCTTGCTTATGTGAGTTTGTCTAAAATTGCGTTGGTGAGGAAATTATGTTTTTCTTTTTTCTATTAAGGGTAATTTTGGTATCTTTTACAAAATTTAACTCTGTTAACAAAATTTTGGATGGAAATCAAATTAGGAAGTAAGTGATAAAGAAATTTTAAGTAAGGGATAAATGATTAAAAATTTCAAGAGGGGGTTAAGTGATTTTGAGGAAACTTGTAGGATTTTTTTTTTTTTAAAGCTTTCCCTTTATTTATTGCCTCCTTGAAAAAATAAAAATAAAAATAAAACAACAATCGATTTACTTCAAATTTCTTTGAATTAAATTATATTAAATTTAAATTTAAATTTAAAACTAAACAGATTAGCCGAAAACATAAGAAAACTGATAGATAAATTTTGTTTTCCTCATAAACTATTTCAGACGACTTTGGTGAATTTTAATTGGGACTGAACAAATGCGCTTAGCACATCCAAATTGGGCCTTTACTCCTTAGTAGTTCATTCAGTCAGTGACAAATTCATATCCAGAAAGCAATGGAACTTTAACAGTGACATAAAAAGGATGATTTATCGTAAGTATCATCACCGAGACCCCAAAATTAAACGCTTAGCAATTAAAAGTTGGTGACTTTCTAACACGTGATTGATGCTCAACCGCGTCCTGTGCATATCATTTTGCAAGGGCACGACTTTCGTGGTAATGGTATCACGTCCCATGACATGTCAGAGTTTGTACAGGACGCAGTATGCAGAGTGTCATATCTTAAAACGTCTCTTAAGTAACCGCGTCGTTATGCATTATTTAGGCAAAACATATGACTTAGAGATTATTCCGGTCATACATACTAAAAATCACAGTACCAAGGTCAAAAGATCATATTAACCCTATAAAAATATCTATATAACCTTATAACTATTTGTACGAAAACTTTCTTTCGATATTGTATTCGAAAAAATAAATAAATTCGGTAACAGTAACAATCTTAGGATTACAAAGTAAACAAATAATAATAACATCAGCTACCAAATTATGATATAATTTTATTTTTTTTATGAATTGGTAAAGAATAATAACAAAGATATATTCTTATTATTAGTATAGCTAGAGTATTTTTGTCATCTATGTCTTAATTAGAGCTGATGATGCGAATCAATCCATCTTGACTCGACTCAACTCGCCTTTAACTCTATAAAAATTGGGGTGTGGTGTATTTAGTATTTACTATTTATAAGACAAAAGCTCAAAAATTCATGTGATTTATTCTAAAGTTATTTATCCCGGATTTTTTTTCTTTCTCTTACTTTTGATTTTTTTTATCCAAATTATTTTAACACCGATTAAATATTGGATTAATTTAATCGTTTTACTCCTATGAATGGTAAAAAATTATAGGGAAAGAATAAAACAAAGGGGCAAAATGGGAAAATTAACTTAATATTTAAAAGCATTAAAGATGGACTTGGATGTAAAAAACAACAATGAACCATTGTGATAGAAAAAAAAATACAATGAATAAATAATTTTATAGCACAACTTATGGGATGAGGAGTCAACCTCCCTCAATAATTAAAAAGTAAAATAAAATAAATTTGAATATTAAATAATGAGTCAATCCCAAGGATCAGGATTTGTTATCTACTAATGTGATCTAAATTAGTAGAGTCCAGAAGGAAAAGAAAAATTCTCAACTCAAAAAATAAAAAATACTTGAATATCAAGTATGCGCATAACAAATCGAAACAACTTGTTTAGGTGGGAATTCTCGGTTGGAATAAGATGATGTTTATATTGGATCTCCACGATCTCAAAATTATTGTTGTTATTATTTCTTCAAAATGTTTGCTTACCTTTTGAACAAGAGTTATTTTTTAACAATGGAATATATGGATAGTTGTGCAGTGATATGCGACTTGAATGCACATATATATTTTATGATATTATTTTGATAAAATGTTTTTGTTTTAAATTAATTTTATAATTTATTTGAAAAAATTACTTAAAATGATCAAAATGCCCATGCATATTCGGGTTGGATGCTGGTGAGATATTTATTACTCATCCACTGAATCTGAATAGACATGTATCGTTTGCTCTGTTATGATTACATGATTGGGTGTCCAATTCAATGCGAAGTTTACACACGGGACCAAGTCCAAGTACCCAGCGACACACATAAAGTTTGCTAGTTAGAAATCGAGTGTTCAAATAGAATAATATCCACATCCTTTTCAGTACATTGCACATGATGGTTAGATCGCAATAGCACATCTTCGTTGTCTTTTTGACCGCATTGTTGAAGAAAGAAAAGTGAGAACTTATACACTCATACACGGCAGGGAAAACAAGAGGACAACTGGGAAGTAAATAATATAAAAGAAAAGGGTGTTGATTGTTGAAGATATCTATCGGGGTATCGGAGAAAACAAGAGGACAACTAGGAACTAAAAAAAGTTGAGATGAATTTTCTAGTTGATCATATTTGATAAGAGGTTTTAAAAAATTTGCCCATCATTTGAATTTGCATAACAATCTCAATTTGTATGTAAAATTAAAAAAATTTGCCATTTCGAAATATCACTCAAAGGGTGGTATTCTCATTATCCGATCAAATAAAAAAGTAGAAAAAAAATAATGGACACAAATATCCCTTCTAAAAAAAGTGCTAAAAGAAAGCTGGAGATAAAGAGAGTCTTCTTTGTATTTAGTCAAGGATTAGTTTGCTAGTTTCATCTCATTTTTCTATCAATGTTTTACCTTCAACCAAATATAGATTCAGAAATTTAACTCAATTTTTCTGGTAATATTTCGACATACCAAACAACTTTTTTTTTAACTTCTCTACCAAATTTATTTTTCCATCAGAAAATCTTAAAATTTGTTTCATGATTATTGTGCAAATAACATCTTTTGTATATATTGACTTTGTAATTTTATTTTTTTTGAAATACAAAAGCGTTAGAAAACGATAATATAGTTTTTTTTTGTGACAATGAGATATAAAGTTCTTCATATATTAAATTTTGTTGATGAGATGTGACTAAATTTTTTCTTGGATTTAGTTGATAGGTTAATGAGTCTTGGGTTTAGAAAATTTTGGGTTATGATTGGAGAAAAACTCAAGTAAGTAGAGAGAAATTAATATATTGGATCGGTTTGGATTAGATCGGTTTTCATCAAAACCAATCCCAAATCCAATCCAATCCAATTAAAATTTGCAATTTTTTTTTGTTTTCGATTTTTCAGTTTATTCGGTTTTTCGGTTCGGTCACCACAGTTTGAATCGATTGATGAACACCCCTACTAGTAATTGTATTTTCCTGGTAAATTTTTGTTTTTCCTCTACAAACGCCACTTAACGAATTTATGATATAGGTATGAAAAGTGAGGAAATATAAGATGGAGAGATATCTTGCGCCTGTTTTAACCTACATTTATATGAGATGAATTGTGGCAACTTAGATTGTGAGTAATTACAACCAAATGCCAAATTTAATGGGTTTTACTTCACATGATAAAAGTTATAGGAACATTGCGGAACCTTAACCAAAAATGAACTGAGAAAAAAAAAATCATTTTTATTACACTTGTCTTGGTATGAAATTTCCCCCCTCCTTAATGTAATTGAAATTTATTCTTTTCTGCATCCAAAGCTAAGCTTAACCAATACCAACTAAACAAGCTGACAGCTTTAAGGAATGTATTTTATTTGCTCAAACTAATCCATCTTCTATTGCAAAACTTCTTCCCTGAAATATCCTTTCCCTTGCCTTCATTGCCTGCAATCTCAGACACTCAAGAAATGAGTACATTTCAATTAGTAGTACATGTTCAAAACTGTTACTGCTGCTGAATTTTAACAAGATTGCATGGCTTAAGCCATAAGGTGCTACTTTTCTTTGACTGCAAAAATAACTTGTCTAGTTTACCCTATTAAGTTCCAAAATTTTAGTTTGATGGAACTTCTTTATCTGAGAAGACATAACATTGTGAAAGTAATGTTTTTGGAGGTGGAGGCAAACCTGTTTTTCCCAGTTTGTGCAACTTGTTATGAGGGATAGGGTAACTGTTTGACAGAAGGCACCAATCATTATTCCACCCCACAGGCCTTTTCCTCTCAACTGTAACAAGAAACCCAAAATAATCGCAATTGGAATTCCCAAAACATAATAAGCTCCAAGGTTCACATATGCTCCTATGTGCTGCCACCCACATCCTCTAGCAATACCTATAATGAACAAGTATGACATTTCATGGCACACCTCAGAATCCATTACATAATAGAAGAGAAGCATTGTGCATTGAATAATAGAGGAAAGAAGGAACCAACCTGACAGGGTACCATGTAAAGTGTCCACTATAACAGATAGACTTAACAGAGGAACTATATCTGTGACATAATCCACCACCTCCTGCTCATTGCTAAATACATAACCTAAAACCTGCCTGCAGGCAAAAATGATTAAGCTCACCAGAAGAGCCTCTGATGCTGCAAGAGTCATAGCAGCAGAAGCAGATAGTCGTGCTGCTTGTGGACTTCCAGCTCCTAATGCATTTGAAACTCTAGTGCTGAATAACCCACCAAAAGAGACACAAATCAGAAAAGAAAGAAATTGCTTTACTTTATTGTAAGGTACAAATTGATGAAGTTTTTGAGTTATGTGAAGCAAAACCTTGCTGCTGAGCCAATTGATTCTGGTATTGTATAGATTGTTGTGGTGGTTGATAAACTGATCACAAAAAATGAAGATTTAAACAATAAAATTAGCACCACTTATCTACATGGATATCAATATTTGACTATGAGTAAAAATTTCAATACAGATTTTAAAACACACAAAGTCATTCATGTCTGAAAGACTAAGAAAAGTCCTACCATATGGATAAGACTGAAGTTTCAAGCTCTGGATTTGGTAGAAGACCAGAAAGCAAGATTATCAGCTCAAATGACCACCACTCAAGGCTGCAATGATGATTTACGTAAGAAACAATCCATGGTTGAAAATTAACGGGAAAAAAAAAAAAAAAAAAAAACACAACATAAAAGATCAGAAAAAGGAAGGAACTAACCAAATCATTCCAGCTGAAGGAATAGCAAAGCGGAAGAATTCTCCAATCCCATGGAATAGCTCCATTGTAATTGGAACTCGAGTCCTTTCACATTTAGTAGAGAATTTCATATATAATCCAAGTAAAATAACGTTCAACCAGTATGAAGTACCAACAGAAAATGCAGCTCCTAAGCTACCTAATCCAGATTTAAAAACTAGCAGCCAACAGAAAGCTACGTGGAAGCAAAGAGTAAAACAGGCACTCATAACAAGGGGACTGATCAAACTTTGCATCAGAAAGTATCTAACCATGACCTGAAGTGTTCCATAAGCAAAGAGAGCAGGAATCAGACACACAGCAAATTTTCCAGCTTCATGTGAAATCAAAGGGTCTTGACCAAGTAAAGTGAGTAGCTTCCCAAAGTTGATCCACAGAAGAGTCAGAGGAAGACAAGCTAAAAAAAGAGAGACAATAGCAGTGTAAATTTGAACACCAAATTTTCGATATTGCTGTGCTCCATAGGCTTGCCCACATAGAGTTTCCAGTGCACATGACATTCCAAACTGTTTGATATGTACAAAATATAACATGCAATCAATTCTCTACTTCATTGAGAGATACTAGTTAAGGTGGCTGAGAGAGAAACATAAGAGATGGGAAAAGAAGAAGACTTACGAGAACACTAAAGCCAGAGACAGCACAAAGAGACATGGCAATTGCTGTGCTAGAGAGAGCAAGTTTACCCAAGTGACCCACCATCATCATTGAAATAATTTGTAGAAAATACTGTGACAAAGTGACGGTAATCATAGGAGCTGCTATATAACCAACCGCTTTCACCTCTTGAACAAAGACTCTCCATGTTATGCCTGAACGACCACCCTCTATCTCTGCCTCTCTATCTTTCTCCAATAGACCATTTTCCATATCCTCCCTATGCTTCGCAGAAGCCTTGCACGTTGGTTGCACCCGCTTGAGACTGATAAAATGCTTAGAGCTATGGCGTTTTGTCGATAAAGTGTTTGTGTTTGTGTTTGCTTTGAAGATGGTATCATATAAGAATAAAACGTGGGACATATTCGAATAAAAAACCAAGATTTTTTATGTGTTGTTACAATTTTTTTTTTTTTTTTTACAACAATAACAGAGCTATATTCTCTTAATAATAATATTAGTTCATATATGTGATTATTTTTTTATTTGATAGATGTGTCTATCCAATGGGTCGCTGGTAGCAGTTAGATTTGGTCAGTTAACACTCCTACTCGGGTCCTACCAATTAATTATAGGAGATGGAGAAATAAAATACTCATTCGCATGTCACACATGTCCTTCTAGACGTTGCCCTATTGCAAATCTATGTATGATTTATTTGAATTTTTTTGAACTCAAAATTTAACAAATTAAAATTAAAAATAACATATGTTCTTTTTTGAAGGAGAGTAAACACCCAAATCACTCTTTTTTTTTTTTTTTTTTGTAAATAAAGAGGGGCTAAGCCCCAGAAACAGAAAGAAATTACAAATCAGAAACTAACAAGCTAGACATATTTCTAGCATCAGTAACTATAAGTTCCATCAACTGAGGAGGAGGATCTTTAAAAATCTTGAAATGGAGATTATTAGTCTGCCCAGCTTTAGCTAACCAATGAGCACATTTGTTGTTTTCTCTCTTGGTATGAACAAGATGAATAGTCCAATCTGCTTTTAACCATAATCTCAATCTGCTAGTGACTTGAGAGTCCCTAGGATCTTCATGCTGCTCCTTTAACATCTGGATGGCTTGGTTAGAATCACATTCTAGCTCTATTCTTGTTAATCCTGTTCCCCAAAGCAGTTCCAAACCTTTCAGTAATCCCCATAATTCTGCATCAAGAGGATTGCAGGAACCTAAATTACAATAGAAGCTTCCCAAAAGGATCCATTGTGATCTCTTAATATACCACCACAACTAGCTTTTTTCATCTCTTTAAGGGGATGTATTTTAGTTAAATTGGAGTACGTGATTGGTTCAATTATTATTGGGCTAGATCACACGATTAAATTCAGTAATGATGATGAATATTTGGGTTGAGATATACTCCGTGAGATGATTGGATTGTTGTCCAGATGGCAACGAGATGAATAATTTGGTGTAAAAGTTTTTAGGTAATTTGAGGAGACTGTGGATGTATCTGCAAGATACTCTAATGCTCAAGTTATTTTAATGTTTAGGGTGTTTGATAGAAAGATGATCTTATCTAGGTCGAGTGCCTCTATATTTATAGTGAAGGGGTATCTTGCTTTTGCCTGTCTTTTGCGGTGATATTTATTTCTATTGGTTGATAAGGGTAGTTTCCACAAGCTATGTTGTAGTGAGAAGTCCATAGTCAGACTAAGCCCTTATAGATGTCCTAACATGTAGGTGTTATGCGGTGGTGGCCAAGTTTTTGCCAAGTTTCTTTGTCTAAGCTGTTGGTAGCATGTGTCACGAAGATGCCATGTCCATATTTAAGTGGGAGGGGCACATACTCTTTCTTGTTAAGTATTGGTTTTCAGGCTCGTTGATATAGGGTCCAAATTAATGCATTATTTGCAAGTCACTAAAATTCTTATTCTAATATCTTTTAAAGATTAATATATATTGTTCTTAGCTTTTCTTTTTCTAGTTAAATAAGATTTAAAATGTGTTTTGAGATTCATTGATTGTGAAGTTTATGTTTATACTCTTAGTTTTAATTTTTTTTAAATATATTTAATACTAATCGATTTGTAATTAATTATTTTTATTTTTAGATAATTTTTTATTTATTTTTAGGAGTGTGAATTATATTTTTGATAAACTTTCATTTTTCATATTAAAAATATAATACGCATAGTTAAATGAAACAAATGTAATTTTTAAATAAGAGAAATATTGTATGTAACTATTGATAATCTAAAGAGAAATGAGTGGAATTCTCTCTCTCTATATAATTAAAAAATATATATTTAATGCAACTTATTATTGAGAATCAAAGAAAAAATTTTAATTTGTTTATTTTGTACATACCTTTAAAAATTGAATCTTCGATTTATTATCCCATGAAGATTATCCGTTGCAAACTAAATTCAGTATGTCTTTGCATTTAACTTTTAAGATTAGTGTTTATGTTTTTTAAAGGGTAGGCTTTTTCACTCTTTTGCCCCTTATTAATAACCATTTTGTCTCTGATTCAAAATTATCTATCAATTTGTCTTTCTTTAATCGACTACCTTGCATTTTTAATCGACTAAATGGTCAAAACAGACAAAAATGGTTGTTGGAAGATTTAATCGACTAAATCTCCCTATTTAGTCGACTAAATCTCCCAACAGACAACAAAGAAAAACAAGTCAGTATGATTTTTTAATCGATTAAGTAGAAAGATTTAGTCGATTAAATCTCCCAACAACCATTTAGTCGATTAAAAATGCAAGGTTTTCGATTAAAGAGGGACATATTGGTAGATAGTTTCGAATCAAGGACAAAATAGTTATTAATTAATTAATAAGGGGTAAAATGATCAAATAGCCTATATAATTATGTTATTTTAGTTAAAATTATCATATTTTATAATAAGAGAAACAAAAATTATGATGGTAATAATGGGGCATGGTGGGGAAAGCAGTAGTTTCAACTTTCAACGTTATTAGTTAAGGGACATGATCCATTTACAAATTTTTTTTGCAATTACACTAATGTAGGACCGGTCGTATACTGTGTGATGAATGTAGGACCAGTCGTGTAGTTTGTAAACAAAAAACTTATAAATATAACATGCCCCATTAATTAAATATTAAATAAAAAATATTTAATTCCGAGACTACGGGTCAACGTTATTAGTTACTTGTGCAGTTGTGTTGTGTGATGTGGTAATAATGGGGCATGGTGGGGAAAGCAGTAGTTTCAACGTGTCTTGTCGGATTGCGCGAGTAATTAGTATTGTAATATTTTCTTTTTATTTATTTATAAAATTATAGGCTTTTGTACTAAATTTTTTTTATATAGGTTTTATGTTAAATTTATAAATCTAATAATAAAAGTTGAATATTTATAAAAGTTACAAAAAATATTAATATTTAGTTTGTAATTTTTATTATTTATTTTTGAATTTAAAATAAAAATAAAATATTATACTTATATTTTTTCATATTTACTCTATCCATTTCTTTTTAACACTATTAAATTAAAATCTCAAATAATCTTTATTCTTTCTTTCTCTTTTTAAGATTCTGATCTAATAATATTATAGATGAGTAGTTAGAACAGACATAAACATAAAATAAGCATAATATCATATCCCTATAAAATAAGGGTTTTATGTTTATCATTAACATAATGTAACATCACTTTTCTACACACACATTAAAGAGGTGAGGTCTACATGTTTTTCTTTCTCTTTCATCATTCCACTTTCTCTCTCCATTTTTTTGTGAGTGTTAAAAACAACACTCAAATAATATAAAATAACACTAATAAAACCCATAAAATAATACTGCAATAAAAATAACATCAAAATAAACCTTAAATTTTAATATGATTTACTAGTTTGTTTATGGATTTAATTTTTCCAAATTTAGAGACGTGCTTGGATTGGGCCAGTTAGAGAATTAACCTTGACTTGGTGGTGTGTCAAAATAGTAGAAATTAGTCTAACATTCTTAGCATCTCTGTGGTAACAATGAACATCAATCTTACATGATTTATATCAATTTTTGTTTTGGTTCCAATCACCTCACATATTCATCCTTAAAAAACTCAATGAACTTCACAAACCAAGCTATATGGAATTGTAAGCAACAACAAATTAAAAATAGATGGCATTTTCAATTGCAATCAAGGACAAATTAATCGAGCAGAAAGACAGATAACTAGTATCTACGGACTGAGTAACCACGCAATGGTGGAGAATGAAACCTTTTCCCATCTAGCTGCTTGTTTGCATTGTAAGCTGGAATATATGACTCCAGAATTAAATATGGAGAGGCTGCTCTAATCTCAACAATATGTGAACTTCAATTCATTATCTACTTTTCCATGTGTATTTTCCTCCCCCATTTTCTCTGTTTATTTTGTTTCCTAGAGTCCTCATAAATTATGAAAGCTATTGTATTTAGAGGACACAATTTATTTTGAAGCTATAAGCAACTGATGGACTCTGTTTCCATTTTGTAGTGATAGAAAAAATGGTAGGGTAGTGACCTGAAGATGAATTTTGGATGAAGAATGGGGGAGTATATTTGGTATAATCTTTGGGAATTGGGATTAGGGTTTTTTTTTTAATTAAATAGGGAGAGTTATGTTTACAAACTTCTTGTTTACAAACTCTTACAAATTATATTATGTATTCCGGGAAGTACACTTATTTAGTAATGTACTCCACGAACTACATAATATAGTTTGAAAGAGTTTGTAAACAAAAATTCTATAAATAAAATCTATCCATAATTAAATTAAAAGCAAAAAAAATTCTCATGTTGCAGGAATTTCTAAAAAAAATAAATAACTGTGTACTACGAATAATATATAATTATAAATTCCTGAAAATACAAAATAACTATATACTACGGATAATACATAATCATAATAAAAAAATTATTACCCTTTATAACTATGTATTATTCATAATATATTGTTATTTTTTTTACAGAAATTCCTATAACATTAAAAAAAGAGAGTCTAAATTAAATGAAGAAATAAAATTTGTAATGCATGAGTTCTCCTCCCTCATAGCACAACCCTTACCCATTATTTGGGGGCTGTAATGTAAAAGCCTCACTATACAATTCCATGAATTATATAAAATAGGAGGAAGAAATAGGCCCATTGGGCTCAAATTTACACCTCTTCTAATTTATTTATTTTTGTAACTAACACAAAAATTAGAAGAACAAAATATGCAGAACACAAATAAATATCAAAACAGAGAAAGAATAAAAAATGCAAGTATGCAACTAAACCGAAATCCCAATAAGAGATAAAGAACTCTGACAGAATTAAATTTAAAAAATCAAGGTAGGATTTTAGTAAATATTCACTATTATTGTAGTACATACTTCTTGAATAAAATTAAAAATGATTAGTGGAACTCATATAATATTAAGAGAGTTAGTTAAATAAATTCAATTAGGTGAATTATTTTTTTTTCTAAGGTGAGGGAAAGATTATATACGGAAGAAAATTTGCGGTTTCCGTCTAGTTTGACTCAAATTCGTAAACAAATCCAATCCATGCGGTCAATTTAGGTTTCAAAGTGAGTCTAACCAATCCATGAACATCTTTTGCTCTTACATAAAATTTGTCTGCCTATGAAGATTAAATTTCAAGTCAAAGCTCACAATTAAATGGTTTTGTAAGATAATAAAAAGATTGGATACTTATTTTTTAAAAGGAATAAAGTTCCCAAAGTCACTTTAAAAAAATTTATTTAATGTTCACCAAAACGATATAGTTTTGGAGTTGAAAGATTAAAAGTTAGAATGATAAAAACTATTATAACATTATAATAAATTAAAATTACAAACACACTATGATTTCAGCCTCAAAATAACGTTATTTCGGTGAACATTAAACAATCTTTAAAGTAACTCTACTAACATTTTTTAAAATGAATTTTGAAACTAGTCTGATAAATTGAGCATTATAGCTGTGCCACACTTGTATTCCATGCGTCCTGAAATTGTTTAAAAATATTCATGCAATTAAGAAAAGAAAACGGCAGCAAGCACTCACAAGTTCTTACAAGTTCCGAGCAACTCTCACGCCAGTCTAACGTTTTATCTTACATCACATTCATTTGTTGACAAAGTACCGGATGCAGTAACACTCTCCATCCCGCATATTCAGCATCAAGGTACGGCGTTTCCTCAGTTATATACTTTTGTTCCAGTTTGATGCTAAACAAAGGAGAGCTTAGGATAAACAGTGAGTTGAGAATCTGATGAAGAAGTCACAAGGTATTTCCCTTCTTTCAATTTTCTTTTTCTCTTTCTTGATGTTCCATTCATGTACTTTTTTTTTTTTTTTTCCTTTGCATGAATTAGAATCTTCCTCTTGATAGTTTTCTGCAACCTTTCAAGTTTATCAATTTGGCATGTACAAGTGACACCCTTGTCTAGTTTTTTCCCCATATGTATAACAAAGTCTAAAAAAGAACTGAATTTGAATTTGAAATGACATGACTTTGCCAACTTTTGAGTTTTTAAGGCACACATTCCTTCTCTATTTTTCTGTATATAGTTATGTATCTGTAAGAAATGTAACTTCCATATCTTATCCAAATTTGTTGCTTTTATTTTTTAAAAAAAAAAATAGGGAAGAAGATTGAGCCGACAGAGAGTCAGAAGAGGAAGACTACTAGGGATGATGATGACAGGCTTAGTAACATGCCTAACCCAATTCTACTGCATATAATGTCATTGATGAAGATAAAAGATGCTGTTCAGACTTGCATCTTGTCAAAACGGTGGAGGGACCTTTGGAAATCCCTCCCTAATCTTAAATTACATTCCTCAGACTTCAAGAATTCTACTCTTTTCTCTGAATTTGTATCTAAGATTGTGTCATGCCGTGATGGCAACCATCCCTTGCTTAATCTGGACTTCTACCGCAATGGTGCTTTTCAAAATAAGATTCTGACAAGTCTTATGAAACATGCCGTGTCACATAACATCCAACATTTGAAAATCTATGTCCCGTATAATATCGGTTTGCCACCGTGTCTCTTTACTTGTAAGTCTTTAACGTCTCTTCATATTTCAGTTTCAAGTTATGATGTCAAGAAAAAAACGAAAATCCCAAAGTCTCTCAAGCTTCCAGCATTAGTAAGTTTGCATCTTGACAATGTTGGAATTGTTGCCGATGACAATGGTCGTGCTGAACCCTTCTCCAAATGTAAAAAATTAAACACTTTGTCCATTAATCAATTTGTCTTGGTCTCTTCAAACTCTCAGAGAATGTCAGGAATCCTCAACATAACCAATGCTACACTTGCCAATTTGACCGTCCATGATACTTATAATTCAGGTTGCAAATTTGTGATATCTACACCCAATCTAAGCTCTTTCACTTTAAACGGTTCTCCTTTTCAAACATTGCGTGGACAGGAAGGGGTGACTATCGAGCTTCAATCTTCCTCACTGATATAAAATCAATACACTCATGTCCAGATCAGATCTCCTCAGGTAACGTGAAGTAAGATTTTGTATGTTCTTTCTTTCTTTAATTGCTCAATGAAATATTTTTAGGCCTGAAAATCTCACTACGTAGATGAGTATTATTTTGGACATTCTTAATTCAGTCAGACACCATAGCAATGGAATCATGACATTTTACGTTGTCTCATTGTCATATATTTGTTTTATGAAATTCTGCAGCTGTAGAAGGTGACAGAAGAGCGTTTTTCATTGCTTAATGAAGAAGTTTATTGGATATTGGCTGGAGTAGTGCATTTGATCTGTAACTGAAGTCTATTGTTCATGTGTATTGGTATTTAATGACAAGTATGTACTTATGTTAGTAGTAAAAAATAAAGTCGTAAAAGAATAGGTGTTGTTAGGAGTTAGGAGTTGCAGTTGATTTATCATTGTTACTGTAAAAGGAGGAAAATTGTTTAAAATTGCTTTGATCTTATAAATTTTATATATCTGCTTGTAAATTGTAATCATTTGGGATGTCTTTTTTTCTTTTTTTCTTTTTTTTACGAAATATTTATTCTTGTTGCCAGTTTGCCACCCTGTTACGTGGTGATTTTGTAAATCGAGTCGAAATAAAATGGAATGGGCAAAACCGTAAAAGTGAAATGATGACTTTCGATTCATGGTTTAATAGCTAAGCAGTTTAAAGTGGCGTAAATTAAGACTTTTTGGATCAACTTTTTTTTTCTTCAAAAGTTATTTTTTTTAAGAAAAAAAAGTACTTATCAAAAAAGTCTGTTTGAATGTCTGTTTTTAAAAAAAGCAGAAGTCATAAAAAAAGTCAAAAACTTACTTTTTTCGAAAACTAAAAATTTTAGCTTTTAAAAAAAGTAGAAATCAAAAGCTAAATTTTTTTTTCAAAAATCAAATATTTTTAAAAAAATCTAAATAGCTGTAACTTTTATAGAAAATACTTTTAAAATAAAAAAGTGATTAAAAAGACTTTCTTAAAAAGGCAATACAAAGGAGCCCTGAGATAGGCTTAGCCCATTCGGACTTGCTTTTTGCAAGTTGTGCTAGATTGTCAAACCCAATTTATATGGGTTACTATTGAAAGAAACTCGTGCTATTCTTGCAATTAGAATTAAAAAAAATTAGTTTAAATAATTTATTTAATTAATTTATGTTAAAATATTCTAAATCAATAATAATTTTAAAAGAACATTTCTAGTAATCCTGACACACCTACTCCTTCCATTGAAAAAACTGTCACTTGTAAAAAAAAACACAATTTCTCTTTCTTCCACACAAGTAAGTCAGAAAATACTTAATTTTCATTGGCTTGAAACACTGGATTATACATGTACCTAAACTATATTAAATATTTCCCTTCAAACTTGATACGGATAATATTATAAGCCTAATCTAAATTTTCATTCAACTCTTCGGCCAGCTCATCGAACTGGCTAATTTTGACAACTCTTGGATTTACAAAGCTATTCATTCTGCTGCGAATTAAGCCATTCTATCACTTTAAAAAAAAAAAAAAAAACATTAAGCTTTAGTTCCAAAACTCGAACAAAGGGAATAAGCTACTACTTCTCACTCATGGAGAATTGTCCCCATCAAATAACCTCTTTCTTGCCTTGATTGCCTGCATTAGCAAGACCACACGATTGAAACAAACAAAGTGGCTAATGGGATACCACCTCAACAAGGGTATTCAGTTATATTAAGCAAAATCAAAATGGTAGCTAGAAGATGAATTTAACTACGTGCAACCAAGAATAGTAAATTTGAAGTTTGGGGTTTTTAAGACATAGGTTAGAGGACATATACCTGCTGTTCCCAATTTATACAACTTGTTATGATAGAAAGTAGAACTGTTTGAACAAAAGAACCAACTTGTATACCAATCCAAAGACCTTTTCCTCCCAGTTTTAGCCAAAATGCCAATGAGGCTGCAACTGGAATCCCACAGAGGTAGAAGGCCCCTAGATTGACATAAACCCCAATGTGTTGCCATCCACAACCTCTAGCAATCCCTGAACCAAATCATAGCAAAACTAATTAAGAGAAAGCTTGTCTTCTATATAAAATTTACTTATGGATAGACAAGAGAGAGGTTTACCTGCAAGAACACCTTGTATGCTGTCCAGTATAACAGATAAACAAACCAGAGGAGCCATGACAGTGACATAGTCAACAACTTGCTTCTCCTTGCTGAAAATATAACCATACACATGGCGGCAGGCAAAGAGTGTTGCACTTACTATACTTGTCTCCATGACTGCAAGAGACATTCCAGCCAACACAGCAACACGAGCAGCATGTGGATTCCCAGCTCCTAATTCATTGGAAACTCTTGTGCTATAATCAGAGAGGAGAAAGGATAATTAGTTTAGATAAATATATATACTCAAAGGTAGCTATTTATGGTGACATGTAAAATATGTAAAATGAATGTGTTCTTGATATAACCTTGTTGAAGCACCAATTCCAAAGGGTATTGTATAGAGAGTTGAAATGGTATTGAGACTGCAGCAAAAATGACAAGGAATTAGTACAATCAATTTAGTTTACAAATCTTATAGGAGAATATTGGTAGCAAGATGAAATTTTAGATCATGAGTTGCAGTTGAAAGGGGACCTGAAAAGTCTTATATGTTGAGTTAAAAAGAAAATAAAAGATGTAACGAACATACCAAACGGATAGAACTGAAGTTTCAAGTTGTGGATTCGGTAACAACCCAGACAGCAAGACAAGCAACTCAAACGACCACCATTCTAGGCTACAAAAATCAACATGAAAAAAAAAAAATTACATTGTAGAATTTTTTTTGGAAAAGCCATGCAATACATGTTATAAGTTTTTTGGGAAATGGAAACTCTTGATAATTTGATAAAAAGAACATATACAATTTCAACTGAACAGGAAGATAAATCACCAAATCATTACTGCAGAAGGGATAGCAAAGCGAAAGAACTCCCGGATTCCTTGAAACAGCTCCACAGAAATTGGAGCGCGGGTTTTTGCACATTCAGAAGAGTATCTCATGTATAATCCAAGAAAAATCACATTTGACCATATCGAAATGCTAATTGCTAATGCTCCACCAACATTTTTCAGCTCAGTCTTGAATACTAAAGCCCAACAAAGAGGTATATGGACACAAAGAGTGACACAAGAACTTATAAGCATGGGAAGAAGCAAACTTTGCATTTGGAAATATCGAATTAACGGCTGTAGAATTGCATATGCAAAAAGTGCCGGAAGAAGCCAAATTGTGAATTTCCCTGCTTCGTGTGCAATTAGAGTGTCCTGGCCTATGAAAACTAGTATATTTTCCATGTTGATCCAAAGGAAAGACAGGGGAAGACAAACCAACATGAGAGAGAATATAGCAGTGTATGTTTGCATTCCAATTCTTTGATATTGCTGAGCTCCATAAGCCTGTCCACAAATAGTTTCCAGTCCACTAGCCATTCCCATCTGTTATCATGTACAAGTCGCCAATGCATCAAGTTACTTGGGGAAGAAGATAATGAAAGTTTTTGACCAAGCTAACATGTTAGAAGTAAGATAATCTAATTACTGTAAACACAAGCATTCTATTTCATTTATATCGATTTAATGCTTTCTTGATACCTTCTAGTATTAAGTGAATTTGGACATCACTAATAATCTAATATCATAGTTGTATTTAGAGCACAAAAATAAGCCAGGAATTTGAGAAAAATCACTCTATAAGTTGAGATTTTATGATCTATCCGAAAAGATAGCAGCTAGAGCTTGTTTTGTTATGTCATATTTTTGTTTTTGGGATGCAGGTGGTAAAATTGGGTGCATGTGTCTGGTTTATGAGAAAAAGAAGAAGACACTACAGAAAAAAGTTATAGAGGTGATGGAGTGGGGTGAGTAGTAGCTTACAAGAAAACTGAAACCAGTGACCCCAGCAATGGAGATGGCTAAGGCAGCGCTAGAGAGGTAGAGCTCACCAAGGTGACCAACCATCATGGTTGACACAACTTGCAACAAATATTGACAAGAAGTCACAGCCACCATAGGCCCTGCTATATGACATATCCTCTTTATTTCTTGACTGAAACCATTCCATGTAACTCTCTGCTTCTCACTCTCTGTTTTCTGTTCTATCTCTTTAGCCAATAAACTATCGTCCATGTTTTTCTCTCCTATCAATCCACACAGTCTGATACAGAGATGAGTCGGTATGGCAGAGCTTTTTCCCTTCTTGTGGCTTTGCACTATATTTTATATGCTATATTTACGTTCTTTTTTTACGTCAATATACTACCATATTTGCACTTGATAACACAACTGTGACTGAGAACAATCCACAAGAGTGGAGACAAATGTATAGAATAGATATGGGTAATATTTTGGAAGGACAACTTTTTGTCTTTCCCTTTTCATTAAATTATTCTTTGGCCATGTTAATAAAGCACTTTAGTCATTATGTTTTTGTCATGATGATTGATGAGGGAGATAAGGGCATGACAATAGAAAAAGTTGTGCGGATACTCCAAGAGAAATTAGGCTTCATATGGTAATAATAATAAAAGTTAAACTTTACTTTTTTTTCCATATTCTTGCTAATAATGATAGAAGCGAAACTTTCCTCTCCCACCAAACACACACACACACACACATTCTTGCTTAACCCCAACATCCCTGTCATGTGCTACATTGATCCACAGGTTCATTATTCTCCTATTGCTTTCTTTGTTTCTCGCTTCTCTCTTTGTTTGTGTGCTTTTTTGCTTTTTTATTTGTATTCTTATGCTTCTGCTGTCGGTTAGCATTTTAGAATTAACCTGTAGGAATATTTTATGCAATTTTCTGTTGAATATCATCTACTAGTGTAGTTTTCTTCTCTGTTTGGCCGCAGTTTATTTTTCTTATTAGTACAATGACCCTAGTTGGTAAATCTTAATTGAGGTTTAATTTAAGGATTTAAATGCCATAATTAGATTGAGAGCGTAATTTCGAGCATTTTGACTGTGATCAGGACTAGGTTATGAACAGTGTGTTCTGCTGGATAATTTGCAGTCTTGTGAATTAACCGGTAGAGCTTAAATGAACAAAATGATTTTAGAGACATAATTTGACAATTCTGACGCCAAATATGAGTTCAGAACGAAAAATTGTATAATCTGGCACTTTTCGAGAAAATCTCGTGAATAGTATTTCTGCCGGGTATTTTGTACTGCTGTCTAAGCAACCGGTATAGTCCAGAAACAAATAATTGATGAAATAAGAATAAGAAAGTCCAACATATGCCAAGCAAGTCAAAATAGGCCTAAGAATGATAAGTTTATAAGTTTTAAGTTTCGTAAGCAAACGACGTACAGTTAGTGATTCACAGTGCATTCGTCAAAAACGGTGCAGAAACCATACTGTGAATTAAGAATATTATTCCTTAGGAAATAAAAATTGATTTAAATGTGTTGAGAAAAATAAAAATATTTCTGTAGCTTAAAGTTAGTTCCGAGTCAGTTAAGTGAAAATTACGCGAAAGAAAAACATCTGATAAAAGCCACATGTGCTTAAAAACCCTTAAGTGACTTAAAATCACTATTCAGTCACCATCTCTCTCTCCTTTCTTCCCTCCCAACCCGCGGCTGCCATGGAGTAAGGGGCTAGGGTTTTTTTTAATTCCTCTCAATTCCACTCATTTGCCACCAAAAACCATGATGCCCTACATGAATCTTTAAGAAAAAAGGCTATTGAATCCATTCCACCACTCCATTTGAGCTGATTTGGCTTGTGGAGAGAGTTATTCATCACCCCCAATTCGTGGCATTATTCATCATTGTGGAAAATTGGGGTTTTTGAGTGAGCAAAGCTTAGATTTTGTTCTTTGGAGCTTGGAATAGCAACTAGAGGTAATAAATCTCCATTCCTATGATATGATTGTTGTGATTTAGGTTTTGAGAATTTAAAATGTGTTTTGGTGGAAAGCTTGTGATGGAATTTGAAAGTTTGTGATGTGTTAGTATTGGTAGGGAGTTGTAATATAGAAGTATACACTAACATGAATAAAAATTGAAAGAAATTCCATGTCTCCTTTTCCCCCTATGTTTCGGCCTTGTGGGTCTTTTGGGGGATTGATATTCTAAAAATTAATTGGAACTTGGTAGATATATATATATATATATATATGTGTGTGTGTGTGTGTGTGTGTGTGTGTGTGTGTGTGTAAGTTGTTAAATTAAGTGAAGAAATGAATTGAAAAAGAAGAGAAAAACCTTGGTTTCTCCCTTTTGGAATTCGGCCTAGAAGGTGGATTAAGGGTAGATTTAGTACATTTCAATTTAATAAAATGTGTAGTTTTTCAATGTATGAAATTGATGGGTTAAAGAAGTGAAATGACTTAAAAATTGTTGAAAGAAATCTTAGTTCCCTTTATGTGTACCCACGGCCTTAGGAAGAAAAAATGGCATGAATTATGTTAAAAAAAATCTCATGTGCATACTTAGTTAATTTAGGGAACGCTAACGATTATAAAATGGTCTTGACTTGTGTATTGACATAGGTTTGGCAAAAATGTAAAGAAACGAAAGTAAGCGATAAAATGTATGCCTTATGTAAAAATCTTGGCATGATAGCATTTTATTGATTTTTGTTTTGGATTCTTTCTCTAGGTGTGCCTAGGTACTAAAAAGGGTTTGGATCCTGTTGAAGCAAAATAAGTAACTTGTGCCACAAGTAAGCGAATTTGAAAAGCTTCAAGAGGTAAGCTCTATGTTTAAGGAGTCTTTTCCTGCTTGAGTGCTCCACCATAGTTAGTGGACTGTGGTTGGATTGTATGACTGTTTGATGCTTGGTATAGATGCATTCATATAGAACTATTTGATAACATGATATGACTTGTTCTGATATGATTTCGGTATTGATTGTATGGTACACCGATGTCTTCTTGGGGTTTCCTTGAGATTGACGATGTATGCCTCTGACATATTCTGGTTCTGCTTGGGGTTCTCCCGTGGGAACACGTGCGTTAATTCCGCTTGGGGTCCTCCCTTGGGAATGACAGTATACGCCTCTGATAAGATATGTATATATGTTTTGTTCTGTTATGATATCTGTTATATGTTGCATTGGTATACTCTGTGTCTGACTTTCATGCAGGAGTGAGCCAGGGGTATGGAGAATTCTCTATAAACCTGGAGCTTATTGAGATTGTTTTCTCACCCCTCTTTGGGGACATCATTTCAGGTTCTCAGATTCCCGGTGAGCCCTCACTAGGAAGGGACGCAACCTGTGGCTGAGGCATTCGACGGACCAGATTTTGAGTAGTTGTAGGCTGCTTCTATTTTGGAGTGTATTTATGTTATTTAGTGTTTCAGTATTTTGGTGGATCATGATGTCTGATCCTTTACTTCATATATGGCCTGTAAATGTTTTGTACATGTCTTTCTGTTGATGCATGTACAATTGGGTATTCAGGCATGTTGATATGACTATGTAGTATTCAGTTATGTTTACGTACTGGATTGCATGCTGTTAGATTAGTGGCACAGAGCCAAGCTATGCATGCGCCCATGAATGGGTTTATGATTATATTTGGATGTCTGGTACTTCTGGATTTATATGCTGTTTAAACTGTCTATCAGGAACTCTTGAGAGTGGGATTGAAAAATCCCCAGTTCTCCGATTTACAGAGGTTACTCTGTCCGATTTTCGTCTCCGCCTAAAGAGAATTAAATTAGAAAAAGAAAAAGTTTACTCGTATTTTTGTTAGTTAAGTCTTCCGCGGTTTCTGTTTGTATCATATGCATGTTAATTGAACCGGCTCGAGACGAGAATGTTACAATTAGATTATATCCTTCTTATAATCTTATCTTCTATTTTATGTACTCAATAAATATATGATGGAGCATCACGATCTTGTTGATAAGTTCACATTTTATCAACCCATCTCTTTAGCCCCATGGTTGATAATATATACTGGTAAGTGCATACCTATAATTTTCACATATGTATAAAAAATTTACATATTAGCTAGCCAGTGGCGGATATAGAATTTTTTGTGATTGGGACAAAAATAAAATATCAAAATTACAAATATTATTAAGAATGATAATATGAATTAATTATTATAAGTATTTTTTGAAAGGGATTAACTATTAGCATCAATAATTTATTATTATTAGACAAATATCAGTTTATACATATAACAATAAAATAATCAAAATTTATGAATACTCACCCCTCTCTCTGTTCTCCCCCTCATTCTCTAACAGAACAATTTGGTATTAAGAGTTCTATCTCTTATACATTAAATTAACTTGATCTTATTTCTTTGTTTTAAATCGTGCTATTACTATTCACATGCTAATTATGTGCCCTAAAATTTCTTATTTTTATTAACGGACCATTAACTGTAATGAAACAACGTACAATACACAAACATAATCAAAGGAAACACAATGAGATTTCTAAATCAAGAGAGATATTTATGCATGATTAAATATTAATAATTTGTCTATATATATACATAATATTTATCAAAAAAATATTTTTGCAGGCAAATAAGTTATTTATATTTATTTCATGTAATAGTTGAGTCCCAATTGTCTCATACATTATATAAAAAATGAATAATTTTCTTTTCTTTTCTTTTTAATTAATATTTTTTATTTTTATATTATATAAGATAATTTCATCAATTAAACATGACAAACATATTCGCTGATCTATTATCCTATGAAGTTTTTGCGTTCCAAATTGTTCCAAGGCAAAGTCAACATTATCAGCTCCTTGTCATGCTATGTGATGTGATATGATAATGATGTGGTCGAGGGAGAGGAAAGTTGCAACTTGCAACTTGCAACGAGTGTCACCAGCTTTACTTTTTCCTGTTTTGTGCTGATTTTATTTTTCCAAATTTAGAGACGTGCTCGGATTGGACAGTTAGGAAGTGTTTGATGAAGGAAAAGAGAAATTTATCCGAAAATTTTGATTTCCTAAAATATGGTAGAAAATTTATTTTTTCAGAAATGGGAAAACAGCCTCTAACTTGAAACTCAGGTCTAGTAGTGTTCTCCTCCATGAACAACTTTTGATAATAATCTACTTCCATTTCCATGAGTACAGTGGGATCTCCAATCCATTCGCCAGATTCATTTTTCAGTGCATAAATGCAGTTCCTCCTTCTT